AGGTTCTTTACTAGTCTGCTCCTCTACATGCCGGAAAAAACTTGGATGCTCTGGGCCTCGTTGTCGTCCTAGTGGATCGACTTCGACATTAGTAGTGCTGTCCAGTGGATTGACCATCGCAGCTACACCAGGGATGTTATTCGTTGTAAAAATGGTAAAAATGTTATTGCAAGTCGTGCTATCATCTTCACGCATGTCGATGGTCATCTCCTCGTCAGCCATTGCGGAGATCATAGAGTTCATCCTAGGCAGACTCGCAGAGGATGCAGAAGAGCTCCCAGCACCCGTCCCGTCTGGTACAACACCATAATAGTCCCGTGCCAGCAAGGGCGGGGTTGAATGGTGTGTACGATCTCGCAATTGCAATGAAGCACTAGTGCTCTTTGCTGCGCAAGACGATTTGGCCGTGCAACGAGAGTCAAAAGTTGTATTTGGAAGAGGATGACAGTAGTGATTTGTGTAGGAACAAGTAGCACCAGAGGGAAAATTACTAGCATTAACGGATGATGAAGGTGGAGGAGCAGCACTAGGTTGAGGATAAGCAGACTCCTGATCACGCTCCTCCTGGAGGTAGTTATGAGTTCCCTCTACTTCCACATCCACTACATCCCGCGCACTGGTTGGCGGGCCCATGTGAGCAATCCGGGAATAAGCAGGTGATCCTACAAATAGAGTCTGTGCAGGAGAATCCTGCCAGGAGTTCTTGTTCCGCGAGGGTGACATTAGTTCCGACGCCGTAGATGGCCAGGAGGCGGTAGATTTCACTTCCTCAAGGATGTCTTCCATGTTGTCATCATCATCTACTACAAGGGAAGGTAAAAGGTCAACATGTGCTTGTGCGGTTGAGGATGCTACTGATGACATGGATATATTACCCGGCACTGCTAGGTCTGAGAGTGTGACTATCTTGGGTCGTGTGGGCGAGGACTCTGCTGGTGTGGTTGATGACCACTGTGCTGTTGCATTGATGTCGTGCTCTTGCTCATCATCCTGCCCGCTTGTCGCGGTTCTATTGAGGTTTTTTCCGCTACTAATCGGAATTTCTCGTCTCGTCTCAATGTCCACCATAGAAGTCGCTTCGCTTTTCTCAAGTTTTTTAGGTATATTCAGAAAAGAACGAGCGAGAGGTTCTTTACTAGTCTGCTCCTCTACATGCCGGAAAAAACTTGGATGATCTGGGCCTCGTTGTCGTCCTAGTGGATCGACTTCGACATTAGTAGTGCTGTCCAGTGGATTGACCATCGCAGCTACACCAGGGATGTTATTCGTTGGAAAAATGGTAAAAATGTTATTGGAAGTCGTGCTATCCTCTTCACGCATGTTGATGGTGGTCATCTCCTCGTCAGCCATCGCGGAGATCATAGAGTTCATCCTAGGTAGACTCGCAGATGATGCAGAAGAGCTCCCAGCACCCGTCCCGTCTGGTACAACACCATAATAGTCCCGTGCCAGCAAGGGCGGGGCCGAATGGTGTCTACGATCTCGCAATTGCAATGAAGCAAAAACCAGCACACAACCTCCCGACTCCGAAGAAGAAGCAAGCATCAACAACCTGCCCAGAGGAGGTAGAACCAACAAGAACAGTCTGTTCCTGGACGCCCACGACGAATTGTTCCACAGCATTTTTTTGAAAAAAACTTAAGTCAGCAACAGGCAGTATGACAAAATTCTATGTATACCTCCACATCAGATGATTGAAAAAGTTGTTTCTATCTTGCATTGATCACCAGTGACAAAAAATACACAGTGCTAGGCACGATTCTTACAGTCTCCCTATAGAGTTATAGGTAGGACAACTACTTACTTCAATAACTTGTGTACTAGTTGTACAATCACTTGCCTATGCCTTTTTCTTCGATTGGACTGCTCTATCACAATTGTATTTGACTTTCAAACTTTTCGTCCGGAAATGCTGCTTTCTTTGGCCCTTGTCCGGTTTTCTCACGTCTATAGGATCTCATGTGATTCCAGACCTCCAGACTGAGCCATGGTCTGCACAATGCTCAGCTACTCTCAACGCGAAAACCGAGGTTAGATTAGGTTAGGACCACGTGACAGATTGAAAAGCTCCATTTCTACCCTCCTCGCGCCACTGTTTCCCTCGCCTCAGCTTGGTTGCATATAGAACCATCACAGGATCAATGGCCACATTAACACTGGTCTAGTATGCTAGCCCTCCTGTAGTCGGTGATACATAGTAGGGTAGCAGTCATGATAGGCGTCTGGTGTCTCCTGTGGAGGAGTCGTTGTGTCTGGGCGTAAACAAAGTTGATTTTATCTCCGCTTCTGCTACCGCTAGCGTCTAACTATACTGTTGTGTCCATGCTGGTGTGGGTCGAATATAATGGGTGATGACAATCAATCTTGGTGCTGGGTGGTTTCATTTGCGTCATCGTTGCGTCATTTGAATTTCGAATTTGAAACATCCTGATATCCATAAATTTTCAGTTTTATCTCCATTCTAATGAATCCATTTCCTGATGAGCGAATTGAATCACGCCAATCGACTTCACTTTCTTCATCTTCATTTCCACAGGAACAGTATACGACATATGGAAATAAACTGAAGTATCTTCAAGTAGTACATTAGGTTGCCCATTCTTATGAGTCCTCTGTACATATGAGACTATCTTGACATGATAGTGGCTTTCATAATATTTCTTGGAATCACTGTTCAAACCTGTCCATAGATCTCCCTGCTGAGAGCTGTAGTTCAAACTGTGCCTTCTCTTTTTGTGCTAAAACGTCCCAGCCCGCTAAGTATTGTCTGCTGATTGGCATTCTGAAAGTGCGGCATTCTGAAAGTACTAGTCCTATCCTCGTATCTCTTCTTGTAAATAGTACTATCTTTGCTGAATCTATAAGCTGTATATTTATTGCTGAAAGTATCCTAATAACCTATTGCTAGACATTGTGTAAATTGAAAAGAAATTGTAAAACTGTGGAATTATGATGTGCACGACGGATCATTTTGTTACATTTCTTGTTCAACATGTTCGTATAATTCATTGGAGAATCTCACAAGTACCACTACGATATTGAAGAATCTATCAAAAACATTAGAAGCCCTCCTGCTAGTAAAATCAGAAAAGCAAAGCCCCCTATTGTTCTTCATCATCACCGTGTCCCATATAGTACTACAAGCCTAAATAGGCAGGACAAAACAGTTCCAGCAGTATGTCAATTACTTGACGGCCGCGGAAGTGAAAAGCCTAGTAAGGGGGAAAAGTAACCTGTTCATGTCTGAGACTTCACCTGATAGATGAAGAGAGACAGAAGAGCCTACCTAAGTAAGTTGATTTTTACTGCTTCGCGTTCGCGCTCTCAATCAATTTCTTCAGCCTCTCCGCTTTAGCTTTCTCTGCAGCTTCTGCTGCTGCTTTTGCGGCTTCTGCCGCGTCTTCCTCATTCCCCTCGCGGACCAGAGCCAGCGCTTCCTCGTCTATCGATGTCGGGTCGCCTTCACTCAGTTTTATCTCTCGGATCTTGGACTTGGAGGCATCTGGTTCGCCGGTGTAGAAATAAGAATTAGAATAGGACTGATGAGGAGGATGATGATGATTAGAATAGGAATGATCTCTCGAGAAAGGATAGCAGGACCTTCTCAAGAGAATCTATTAGCTCATAACAAGTAGCAGTTTGCTAGAACTAAGGCACTACTAGTACACAGTTGCCGTAACATCCAGATCATCTTCAATCTCGTTCTTTGCTCCTTCGGTGTCACCCGTACTGTCGTTCCACCGGAAAATGCCACTTATTGCTTCGATCCCCCCGTTCTTAGAAGGTCTACTATGATCTACTTCAACACTATGAAAAGAAAATCTCTTATCATTATCATGCTTTCCTTCTTCAGAAACTTGATAATGATAACAGATTTTCGTTTCATATAAACATAGTATGTATAATATGGGTGGAGCCAAAGCCAAACTAACTCAACAACAACATAGTATGTATAATAGTAATGTTGGTGTTGGACATTCTTGATTTCAAGGTCAATGTCAATGAATTCTTCGTCACCGTAGGCAACTGCGACGCCTTTTTGGCAGTCTGCACTGTTCTTGTTCCATCTAGGCATCAGTATCACGATCACCTCACTCACCTCAACATCGCTACAATCATTGGCGTCTCAACAGGTGAACATTCTTACTTTCACACCCACACTCATTCTTTCAATCAGTCTTAACAGAATTCCCTCTGCCTCCGTCCTCTTGCATTCTGTACGCCACATAAAGGATACCAGCAATCAGGCTGAGACCGAGGCACACGCCGACTATTAGACTAGTACTACTATCCTCCTTGAAGATGAAGACAGTCCCATCTTCTAGAGAGAAGTATCATCAGTGTCTTTGACCTGTTTCGTCCATTGTTCCCTTATTCCCAAACAAGGAGCTTCCACTCATTCCTTGTACTTAACAAATGAGAAAAGGAGAGGCCAGTAAAGTAAGATGATTCTCTCAAGATGACCTAGGGCAAGCCGTAAGACTACGATGTATGCGATTGAACCGTTGCTGATTCCTTTGTCCTGGATTAGAGTAGAGGAATTTTTCGAATTGCAATGTCCGACTCTCGAAAAAGTGGTTTTCCATCGCCCAAAAAATAACTTAAATCCTTATGATCCACTATCAACCGATCACTATGAGGGCATTTTTCATCTTCTAGTGACTAAGAATACGAAGAGCTTGACAATGTCCAGATAGTACATTTAAAATACGGGTGGAGCCAAGCTAACTAGAAAAAGGTAAGGTTAGGCATTTAAAGATGAACAGCATGACAGTGACAAGATGATGTCTCTGATGAAAGTACTAATGAAACATCGGCAATCGCTGATACCCCAAACATTCCTACGTCCAACATGATCTTAAGCAGGTCAGCAATGCTATAGAAGCACCTAACACCTGCTGACGAATTAACAATGAATCTGGTGACAAGCACAGTGAGCCTCCATCAATGAATCTTATACTAGTGACATCTAGTGACAGAGCGTGCTACAATACGTGTACTTAAATGTAAGTAACTAATGGCGATTGAGTAACTAAAGTCTATCTTCTATACAAAGAGTTTTTTGTGCGAACAAAACCTTCATAAACCTTGCCCTTGGTTGCTTTTCACAGGAGTTGCTTTTGTTGCTCCCTTGGCTGCTGCTTTCACTGGCGTCGAAGCAGCTGCTGTTTTCGATTTCCCACTTTTCTCTGTACTATAGACTTCTAGAAACGAAGGGCTTCTGCGTCCCTCTGCAGTACCAGAAGTACCAGAAGACGATGGATCGGTAGTAGAAGAATCCGTAGAGTCCATAAGACTACTAGCTGAGGTGGCCATCTGCACGCTGACGCTGCCGTCATCGGCTACGGCGATTAGAAAGGATAACTAGCAGTGGTATTAGTAGTACTACCTAAAAATTACAATTATCAATTATGGGGCACTTCCATTTTTTTTGTAGTGTGAGCGAGTTCCGTAAAGAACCTACCGGCGTATTTTCCGCGTAGCTACCGGCGTAGGGGGGAGTTCTTATAATCTCCTTAACAACTGGATGTCTAGCAAGATAGAAGGCGATTTACACTGGGGTACTTACCATGATGACATAAGCCTCTGGGGTACTTCAAGTGCAATGATGAAGACTGCAATCCCAATAGACGCGAAGACTGCAATCCAATTAGACGCGGAGACTACATCAACTCAATCATGAAGACTATTCGTCATAAATCGATTTGCTCTCCCTCTGCCACACCCGATCCGATTTCCATCGCGCTGGAGTTAGAGTCCGGCAAAGGGCCATAAAATGGCAAAAATTTATCGTCTGCTCTGTCAATCCAGTTAAGAAACGGCTTGCTTCAATCATACAGCGCTTCGAAATCAACAAGTACTTAGGATGCTGGAAGTACTACGACACTGAAAAATGCACATGATCACTCTACTTGTATTATACTACTATCAATAATTTTTAGCCCATAATACTGCTACGCACCACACCAGGAGGACTCACTGGGCCGCCGATTTCCCTCAGATTCTCATCCAATGGGATAGGTTCAAGTGCGCGGTTGTATTTCACGGTAGCTGGATTTAAGGTATGAACATGTTGTGATAGGGATCGATTCTCGGGTAGTGATCATAGTATCACTGATAGGGATTCTCGGGTAGTGATCATAGTATCACACTTGTAGTGCGACTCGTCGGGACAGCCGGAGAGGAAACAAAGCAGACATTAGTACCATGAGGTGGCAGTTTGTAGCTCTGGACTGACGAAATCGATGACTCTTTTCCGGTCAACGCCATGAAATTTTCCCAGGGTATCCAGAACCGCCCACTAGTTGCCACGTCCTCCAAGTGATCTGCCGCAGGGCGATTAGATCGCGAACAAGTTGCTTGTGATAGTATTCCCCGCCCTTACTTGTGGACACGACATGGGTAAGATTTTAAAGATAACTTTGAGCCAGGATGAACCACAAAAAACGCACCTAGTAAACGCTTCGGCTGTGCAGTGAAATTTTCTAGTGCCACCCTTCTAAGATCAAGTCATGACACGTACCCTATGAGGACCTGACCTTTTTTATCCGTCAGAGATGAGATCCGTTTATTCGAAAAACTGAAATAAGCAAGTAACTGATCAGAATAACCGAAATACTGACGAGGAGGAAGAGCAGCCTTGACGTTAAGCTACCTCCCGCCTTATTTCAGTCAGTAACTCGGTTATTTTGAGTTTTCGAATACGCATCAATTGAGCCTTAATATACTTGTCTAGACAGTCCTGCTCCTCGTCAGGTGACATATTTAGAGAGGAGGACAGAGACTAAGCTTGGTACACCTCGATGAGCATGACCAACAAAAAGGAGAATGATGGAAAGAGATAGATTGTAGGTGTACACGTTACTAGAATGTGAATTGTATTCTTGGCTTCTGCTGTGCTCATTCTTGATGGCACTGTCAGCATACCAACGACCTCTATTCAATCGCAACTAGTTGTACAACTAACAACAGTACCCATCCTAGCCTGCGCATGTGTTGCTGTTTTACCAACTTCTAAAAGAACAAAATGTACATATTCTTGTTATTCCGCAAAGAAATCCTCGTTCGTAACAATGTGACATGTCCAACATCCGGCTCCATAGGATTTTTTGCACGTGGCTGGCCCCTACAATCCATCCGGACTGTAAAGTTAGAACATTTTGTAGTCCTCTTTCTTCGCACTCAATATGTCCTTAGGGTGCGTGGCTCAATATTTGAAGGTAACATAGGGATGCGAATCCTTTTTGCATAATTGTTGTAATCAATGCCCTAACTAAGACAAAAGATACACGAATCCTTTTTGCATAATGAAAATTCCACGCCCAGGCTCCATCAGCTTGTCGCGTAATTTGTAAGCATCATCAGTGTAGAAGCTCTCCCGAAGCTATGAATCAGAGACATGGAAAACAAAGCACAGTGAGTCGTTGAGTTGTACTGACTAAAACAAAAACTCATGATACGACTCAAGAAACATTGGACGATGATGCGAATCTATTCAGTAATCTGCCTCAGATTTCCCTGACTCAAGAAACATCTAAGCGTCATTATTTAAAGGGCGGCACTCGTTGGTCACTGACTCTAAAAGGGAAAAGCCCCACACCTCCCTACTTGTTTTCCCTTAGTTTTACCCTGTTCTCTCATGGGGGCGCCTCTTCGATCTCAGTGACCATGTAGAAGATCAAGAAGGAGCTTAGATTTACGGACTTGATGACAACGATCACATCACCTTTCTTGTTCATTGAAGCGTTGGCAAACCTCGTCTAGGATTTTCTTCTCATAAGTTCCGTCGCTCGCCATATTGGTCATCGAGGGTGTGCTCATAAGGTGCGTTCAACGCATGTACGATAGCATCTCCTGTCCAGCACTGACTCTTCTCTGGTGGTTTTCCATTTCTTAAAGCGATCTTATAATAGGTGATAGCTAGAGCATTAGGATTAGACTAGATTAAGTAGATGATTTATTACTGATACTACAGTAGTTGACTTTCTAATTCTCTATGGTCATGGTGGTTCATATTGATCGTGATCAGTAACCGTTGAACTACGTTAACAGCGCACCAGATGATACTTCCACCGTCTTCTATGGTTCCTATTAAACATTGATTTTTTAATGTCAAACCTACTAAGCCATGAGTCGGATTGAGGACGCTTCAGTACGTATCAGTGTGCTTCAAGTTCAACAAATCGAATGAAGGACACATTTTGGTGCATATTAGACAGTGTGACTCAAAGAAAAAGAGGATTTCATTTTCGACGATTGTGTCATAAATCGTCCAGCGGGCCGCGCCAAGGGTAACATGGGAGATCATACCGAGCTCTCAGCCACTCGACTCCTCTACCACTTTTCGTAGACCCCTTCGTTACGATTAGAGCTGATGTTACAGCTCGCGGACGATAATTCACGACTTAGTTTCTTGTACCTCTCCTGAACAATCTGCTGCATAGATATGCAGCTTCTTGGATACTGTTCTACTTAAAGCCCATTCGCGTAGCTCGAAAAGATCCTTCACCGCTGGCTCCCGTGAACGCGGCGCTTGTTTTGTTTTTGGGTCCTTCTCTTAGATGATTCACAATCTGATGTTTCAACCTCCAATTATGTTACAATTTAGTACTCAACGTAGCTTTATCCTTTATTAGTCTAATAATTTATGCTTTGTTCTTGAGATCTCTTGTTCATTAAAGATGAATCTTAGTACTACATTAGCCTTAACAACCAAAGGTATTCCAGACGGCCAAACGCGAAAAATGCGGGTTCCGCATTTGTGCTGCGTAAATGAGTAAAAACGCCCTCTCCTTCTCTGCCTGGTCGCTCGTTCTCTTCCTTGTTAGCGAGACGCCTGTCACATGCCATCAGCGCCTAAGGAACCACTGAGTCAACTCTCGAGTGTGAGAATCGATTCAGGTGTGAAGTGTCAAAAAGAGTGTCAAAATCGACATGTTCATCTGTTGGAACGAATCGACAAGAATCTTAATGTGAAAGGAACCGCTAAAACTTCGAGTGACTCCATGCTGTACGCGTGCCCCGGATGTATGCCAGCGTGCGGTATGAAGGAGAGACAACAACTTCAAGCAAACAAAACGGCATTCGTATAAATGTCGTGCATCCATGTATCAAAAGGGAGTACTTAGTCGTAATGTAAGGCAAAAGAAAATTTTAACGCGCTATTGTTTAAGTCATAAGTGATCACTCAGGCCAGCGCCTGATCCACTGAGTCAGTTTCTATGCAGGCGCGTGCCCTTTTCTAGTATAGTCTCATCTAGTATAATCAGGTAGACCTTAGACAAAAAAAGAGCTGACTTCGTTAGTATAAATGAAGACCAGAAGTAGAATATTAGTCCCCCGATGTTCTTGAGAAAGAGTTCTACATCTAGTTTCAGGATTGGCGCATGGTCTGCTGAGTTCTACAACTAGAAGTTTGAACAACAACAAGATGATCCACCTAAATCGCAGAAGAGGCCTTTCGCGCGACACAGCTAGTTCGAAGGAGGTCACCTTCAGAGACTTGGTCGGTGAGGACTCTCTTTCTTGTCCCAAGTGCCGTCCTACATCCAAACCGTTCTTGTCCAGTTGCTCGAATCGGGAAAGTTAGAAGAAGAGAGGAAGACGAAGGACTTCTATCTTGGAACTTCCGTTCTTTTTTTAGAGTCTGCGATTCGATTGCATCTCGGCCCCCTCATCTTGGCCCCTTTTACCTTGTATTTCACGAGAACACAAGGGAAAAGGGGACCAAGATGCCGAGAATAATGGACACTAAAAGCTGACCATAATTTTTAGCTCTGAATATACAACAATTATCGATACAACTTACTACTACTCTTATTTCAGCTAGTACCCTACCGAGGTGAAAAGTCCAACCGTAAGAACGCATCCGGAAAAAGGCGCATTTTGCGACAGATTTTCCCACAGTGGACGTACCGGTTATGCCCCTTTGCAAAACTTTAGCTTGTTGCATTAGAGTGGGAAATCGAGATAGGGACACGATGGAGCGCTAGGTAGAAGAAATCGTGTGAAGTAGGGTAGAATTATGTATAAGAGACAATTTGATTTTCAGATAGGAGGTGCTTGAACTCAGATTGATGCTACTGGTAAGAGATAAACTCAGATAGTACTAGATGAAGTCGCTCACTTAATACAACATATTACTTTTTAGGTTTGACAGCTTAACTCTGCAATACGGTTAGTAAGCTTCAGAGCGTCTGCTAGCGAGATTTTTCCTTTCCACGCGTGCTTTACGGTGAACGACGTCCCTTCCATCAGCACTCGCACAAAAGTCAGACGAGAAAAACACTAATTAGAGAGACAGAAAATGAGAAAAACATGAACTCTACCTAGGCTGCAGCAAAAGGGGATGTAAAAATACAGAGTATGATTATATAGACGTGGACGAGTCGGCGTTACTAAGTAATTTCCGTTTTTTTACTCTTTGTGGCTGACCCATGTTATGGCATAATGAAAACTCCGCTCATCCTTATATGTCCCAGAAATCGGTCCATGCCAGACTTCTGCTCTCCCTGTGCCAAGTTGATGGCAGCAGTGCGAAGCTTCTGTTTCTCCAATTAACATGAGAACAAAATATGGGTTAAACTTGTGTTTTGTTGATGCGCGTTATGACATGTCAACATCATACTTGGTGCTGCAGCATTCACATTCCCTTAGTGGAGGTAGCAGAAAATAACTTAGTACTGTTAAGTCCTGGTTGGCTGTAATAATCGGTGGTTAGCAGGTACAACTAGAACAACATGTAATTACAGATCCAACCTTGCAGAAAACATACTTGCCTCTCATACCTCGTCTATGTCGCCTGTAGTCGCTGCTTTGGTCGTCTCTTCCTCGTTCCGACTCTGCAAGGGTGAGTCCGAACAAAACCGCCGTTTTATTAGAACAGAAGTACAACAAGTAGGCAGGTAGTTCTTTGTAGTATAGGTTCGCGACAATGTCATGACATTGATGTATGCGCTTTTGTATTGATTGGGCACTCTCTAGACAAGATCAAGCAAAACTAGTAAGTGACTTGTAGAACAAGTAGAGCTACAGTACATGCGTCCCAGTTCACCTTTTTAAAAAATTCAATTTCCTCTCAGTTACCCAGCAAGATCATAATTCAAGCAAAATCAGGACGATCGCTCCCAGGGTTGGCTTCCCTTCAGTCGTCGTTGCCTTCTTTTTGCCACCGGTGCAACCACGTTCTTCTGCGATTAAAACTGTGTGGGTTGCTTACACAATAATAAATATTCTCACATTGAAGAGTAAAGGAACTAAGACAAGAGAAAATGGACCGGCTATTTTCTTCAGAATACAGTCTAAGACTACGCGGATTGGATACATCATCACGATTATCAATGAGCCTAGAAGGCTGCATCGTTCTTGATCACGACCGATGCAGTAGAATATTTTTAGGTGGATTGATAGTACAGTATAAAGTGGCCATAACAAAGCTGCCCGAATAAGATCGATCTCTACCGTGTTCTTTGCTCCTTGTTGAAGGCTCAACTTCACGCTTTCAAGACCAGCCCTCTTGAGAACTGCTGCCACCGAGCTGTGCACTGCCTCACTCATTAGACGCTCGCAGCATAGATGATTAAAATAGAATTTTGGCTTTGATAAGTAAACAAGTATCACGTTGTACACACACCCACACTCCATCCAAGCGCAAGAATAGTAGTAGGAGTAGTACTAGCAGTAGTAGTGCACCCAATCCAGGGGTACAGAAAGTGCAAAGAGGGAAGGGAAGGACGAAGGGAATCAAAACTTAAGAATCCGCTCTAATCCAAGAGATGTTATGCTGAAATACTTCGTTCATGTCTTCTTCATGACCTGACTTGCTCAAAAAAAATTCGACTTGTTCATCTAAAGATCATCGACTTCGACAATGCTGAACCTCACTACATCTTAAGTGGAGTCATAAATCTACTACGCTGCAGTGGTCGGGTCCAGCGAGTGCTTGGACAAACTCGTTCATTTTCTTGGCTCCAAAACGAGCTGTCTGCCACGCTTTCCGAAGCTGTTTGTGAACAAGCCAAAGGATGTGGTCCAATGGCGAAATCCAGAAAGTTAGAGGGTCCCGTACGCTAGTACTTGCCATAATGTGATCTAGGTCTAAATTGGCTTTGGCTTGTTGTTATTTTTTTCCTAGATAGTAGTGCTCACAACGGACCACCGAGTTGTTACAGCGATATCCTTCTGCTTGGTCTAAGGGATTACTTAACCTGTAAGACGAGGGAAAATAAGCGGGTACTGTTCTTTTTATGAGCTTTGAGCGTCGCTGGACCTAAGCTTAAGCCTCAGAAGTTGTCACAAGGATTTTGTTGCACGGGATAAGCCTACGAATGTGATCGAGGTGAAAACTAGCCGGCTGTTTTACTTAGCCTCAGAAGTTGTCACAAGGATAAATACTATCAAAGCGAGTACTTCGGTTCGTCGTTCTTCTAGTTCAAATTGTTTTACTTATACTCACTAATTTGGCATAATAGACTGCACTTTGCAGGAGCGATGAGCTGCCGCTCAGCCGTCTGCAACCCCTCTCCAAAAGAGCGCTCTGGATCGTTTATGGGATTCCCTTTAGCTTAGCAGTTGAGGTTGTTAATGGTAGTTTGTTATAAGTTACATAAAAAAATATCTCATATACTTCATGTTGATTCTGTGGTCCTTGATGCTAACCCTAGTCGCGGTAACCGTAGCGGCGAGAGTGATTTCAGTGAACAGGCCAGCGTCCAAACCACTGAACAAACTGCGCAGTTGCCTTAGTGGTTTAAGCGTTGGCCTGTATCGCGGAGGGAGCTCTAACAATGTTACTGTTTACCCGTATCGATCTAATAGCATGAGTGTGCCTCTCCGAAAAGTGTGACCGCTCTTGATCATCGTAGACACCACCTAAGACACGACTGCAAAATGATAGATAAAAAACGACTGCATGATGTGATACTGGTGTCCACCCCTTAAGATTTGTCTTCCGTCAGCTTGCAATCGTCGAAGTAGCTGATTCTCCGTTTTTCCGGACTTTCTTTTTATGAACCAGAAGGTCATGTATGGTTTTGGTATTTGGTAACCTGAATGGGATAACAAGGATTCTCCTCTTGTTTTCCTTGTGATCAAAATCAGGTGACCAAATGCGAGGACCATTCAGATCAACAAACTCCACTTGTCTATTTCTCTCTTTAACTATATCCATCGTTGGAAGACGAATCGATAGAAAGTTTCAGTCTTCAGTTTTCCTTTCTAGTACAACGAGCTTTTTTCCATTCCGTTCCTTAAGGTTGATATCCCTTCCCTTGAATCCCATTCCCACTTTTCCCAGTGTAAATCGCCGGCAAGAAGGTCTGTAGTACTGCTATCCTTCGGCGGTCCAACCAATACCCTGGGCTTAGAGAATTCATCTTAGGGATGAAATGAAGATGCTACAGCTTGCTTGCAGAAATATGGACCACAAGCCATAATTGCGAGGCGCACAACCAGGCCCGCCTCCATTGCGGTGTAGTCACCCGCAGCCTTTGCAATCGCCTTTATGAGTAGTGTGATTGTGGCAGAGCGTTGATTTTTTGTACTCGCACAAGCACACTTTGCACCTGCCACTGCCGCGCCCCTATTTAACGCTAGAAGTGAATCACTATTCCTGTTATAGATTGGGTGGATTCCCTTTCCTTCCGTCAAAATCCCCCTGACTTCTGCGGGAAAAAAGAATAGTGACTGACTAGCCTTATCAATCGACTTCCGAACTTGAGAATTTCGTTTTCCGGAATCCTGTCGTCAATCATTACCCACTGCCACTCTCCGAACAGAAAAATGAAGAAGAAGGAGGAAAGAAGCTTGTATTTCCACGATGGGCAGCATGAAGCATGAAGAAGCACTCTTGAAATATCGTCATCAACATACTTTTTCCAGAAACAGTTTTGTCTCATGTGTCTGCATCATAAAATAAAGCCGCACTTTGTACACACCCACTGGTGAGTGTGTGCCTATTTCCCGCAGCCATCCGAGGCGAGCATAGTTCTGCAAGACCCCGAAAGCTTAGCGCAGTGCGTGTTTCATCGATCTATGAAAAGCAATGTTTCCTCGTGAACTAGACAAACAAGTTCATTTTCTTCCTAGCTAATCAATCACTCCGGCACTCACCTCCAGAATCCCCTATATCCTCGTTAAATTCCATCTCTAGAAGTGTTACTTTCCCTAAATTCTAAAGGTTACAGGGAGTTTCTACTGCAGACTCCGACCCAGCAAATGATCAGGCTATCTCCAGATACACGCCATAATACACGTAGCAATTCCCGAACATCTCCTGTTTTACGTATGCCACAGAAACAAGCAAATCAGCTGCCGGTGGCTCCATCGCCGGTTGCAAGCCGTAGGCCTGTGGACTACAGACAACTGCTCCGCCTTCACCTCCACGCAGCTTCGTTTGGACTAGCAACCGGGATAATCTATGAAGATGAGACAAAATGCACTACAGTACATTAACCGAGGTCGTACTAGAGAGGAAATAGTAGTTGTCTTTGCCAGTCAACATTCTCTCTTAAGCGAGTAGCTGTAGAGCTGCATTTATATAAGAGAGATTTGACCCAACGAAATCGAGTTATTTCACCCAGAAACATACCACGCACTGATTTAGATCGATTCTGCAGGCTGACAAGACTTTTCTTCCATAAGTTCCGACATTCGACTCTGTATTAGAGGAAGCACGTTTCAGAGATGATTGAATGTAAAATGTAGTGACTTTGCACATGGGTGTAGTAGTGATTCTAATGTACAGAGGTTTCTGAATGTTGAAACAGATTTCAAACTGAGTCGTGCCATTTCTTGGGTGTTTGCCATGGTGCTGACACGATCTAGTACTTTATACGTACAAGTAGAACCTTCACACAAGGTAGTTCCATAATTCTAAAGAGCCTTGGCATTCCCACATCCACACGCAGCGTTAGCGTGTCGGTGACTCGTCTCGGTGAACCATATTGTGCGGATCCATACTCGACAAGCTGAACTTTGTACAGCAGAAAATCGCTGTCCTCTTGTCTTTTCACATTTGCAGGCGGCCTATATTAGAGACACAACAATCCAGCTGAGTTTCACGAATCGAACTAGTGGGAAAAGAGAGAAGCCTCTGAAAAAATCAGACACAACAACGAGCATAAGGACATTCAACTTTATGTACCGTTTTGACTGAAACTTAGATCGACGTAAAGTTTTGGCTGAAATTTAGCGGTGGCAAGGCAGGCGGTTTCCGCGTCGATCGCATTGCATAGCGTTTCAAACCTGAACATCTCCCAAGGATTAGAAGAGCGCAATCATGCGTAGAACGTAATAGCGTCGAGCAACCTAGTAGTATAATGAGCTCTATGTAAGTACCCATATGCTGTGTTGTACCCTCTCTGCATGTGTCATCAGTTCATAACTTCCGTTTCAGTAGCCGCTTTTGACAAGCAACTCACAAATACTCGACCGGGAGCCTTCGAGTTTAGCTGCACACCTGTGTGTTCGCCTTGTTGAAGGAACGCTTTGGAAGCCTCCCGCTCGTGGAAGCTAAGACCCTTGCCTTAGAGAGGGTTTACAACTCAGGAAGGGGAAGAAACGTCTCAACATCTGAAGAAACGTCCCAACATCTACTACGAGGCTCTCAACCTGAATGATGAAAAGTTGAAGGAACTTCTAGAATAAGAATTTTACGTACTACTTGATCCCGACTCATACTCCTTCTAGAGATGGAATTTTACATACTGATTCTTAGAGGTTTCCGTTTCTTCTTGACCTATCCGCTTATGGTATACTGCATATCTATGAGGTTCCTAGTCCCATTTTCAGTGGAATCCGTAGTAGTCCACTTTGCTCCAGGCGAAGACATCGAACTCCTACACACGCTGACTTCCTAGAGAGGGATAGGGAAGAAATATATCTGCACTGTAAGATCTTCAAAATATGTTGTCACGACATCCTTAACTATTCGTGACACCTTCAGCAGTTGTGTGGTTGCTGAACAACAGGTGACGTCCGTCTAGTTCCTGCTGCTCATTGGTCGGACTGCTGTTACTTGCGTCCGATGATCTTGTACTCTCTGATTCGTTGTAGTTGCCACCACTTTTGTAGAGGAAGTCTTGCGTCTCTGTTGAGTAGAAGAAGAGGAGCATCCCGGTAACAACAGCAGTGGCACCGGAGGCCGAGACGATCAGGCGCCATCGCTTCGTAATATTTTCGAAACCCGTATCGATTTGCGACCAATAGGAATAGCGTCCTGCCTTGTCACCCCGTCGAGTACTGTGGTCAGAACCTTGTTCAGAGCCTCTGCTCAAGCCATTGTCCTTGTTCTTACTTCTCTCGAACGAAGAAGAGGAAGAAGAAGAACTCCTACCACTACTAGTATTTCTATCGAGCGTAGAGTTCTTGATGTAAGAGGAAGTGGAAAGAGAAGGACCTCCTCCTCCTCCGACGTCCTCATCACTTCTAGTTCGTTCTTTCTCATCTTCGGTTCGCCGACGTCGGCTTCCTCGCGGAGGCGATTCCGCAGTTGATGGCGAACTCATCTCGTCGGCTCAGCTTCGGTCCCAGGTGGCCCCTGTGCTTCTATCGGTCGAAGCAAGAGGCTTACCTTGCCAGCCGAAGGGTCATTGCAATCATATCCTCCAATTCGATTAAAGAAGCTGACATCATCATTTGTGAGATTATTTTACATTTAGAAGAGGCACCTCTGTCTTGTGAGAACTATCTACAGTGACACATACGCTCGATTCATGATTCCATACTTAGTAGTCTTGGAAGACAAAGACCACATGCTTATGCAGTTTGCTGGTGCAGTGATATTAGTGCACTAGTTGAAGGGAGAGGAAAACGCTTCTGCTTGGGAATGGGATCATTATTTTACGAAAAAGAAATCTAAATTTTACCACTTTTACCAGGTATTTATTTGGTGGAAAATTTCCAGCACCGACATTTTTACGGACTAGTACCACTCAGAAAAAACAGACTCCCTTCACTCTCCTCAAGCCAGTCACAGAAGATTACAAGCAGTTGTACTACAACAGAATTTCACCCTTTTGCAGCTTCAGATTCAAGGAGGTAGTCGCCTACTCGGAGGTACTTGTCCTTACAGCTTGTTCTTCAGCACCTCTGCAGTCACATGATCCGTTTCGTTGACTAAGTTGCCCTAGAATGAGGGTAAGAGGCGAAGCCTAGCCTTTCGACTTGCATTCTTTTCACCACACGAAACGCACTACGTGCTTCCAGTGTTACCAACTATCTCCTCTGCCTGCACAGCTCGTTCTTACAGCTTGTTCTTGCAGCTCGTTCTTACAGCTTGCTCTTACAGCTTGTTCTTCCTTATCTTATGGACATGCATGTTTCAAGTCTCAAACAAAAGGAACAAACCATCCAAAGATTACAAAAAAAGTTACACTATTTCGTTCTCACAACAATGAACTACAACTACTATGCTCGTTGGATCAGGATCCAAATTATACAGTTTAGTTGTGTAGAGCTGCACAGTAGTTACACCTGCTACTTATTTTTTTCATGCATCATTGTTAGAGAATTGTTATTTTTACGCGATATGATAATGTAGTTGAGTTCCCGTCAATGATAATGGAACTGCTCTAATGTATGTCTAGCTGTTTCTAATGTATTTCGTGGAGATAACAGAACTCTATAGCTGTTCAAACCTGCTGGTCCCCTTTATGCTGACAATTCTAGGAATGAAGAAACTATCTTTCTAACACCTATTGAACTATCGTCCAGGTGTGCCGACTATACTTCTGGTTCTGCTCATGACGTTTCAAGAAAATAAAACTCTGCTACTGGCTGTTCATTTCATCAAGCTCAAAGACCGACAGATCGCTGACTTTCAGCGCAGCTTAGTTGTAATACGCTTTTCGATTATAAGTAAACGCTTGAAATCAGTTGGTTGTATGTTGAGATTAGACTTTTTGTTTTATGCATGGACTAGAATGTTGACAATGCTCTTTGTGTTGATCACCATGACAATTGTAATTGTGAGTACTTGTGAATAATTTGTGAGTAATTTCTTGTGTGTAATTTGTGTAAGTGTAATTAAACTAAATGCTTTCTTTTCCTTTTCGTGAATTGCTACATAGGACTTGCACTGTCTAAATCCTGCTACAGCTGTTTATTTAACTGTACGCTCTTCATTAAGGTAGATGCACTCAATCAGCCACTAGGCACTCCAGCGCTCAGGAATTGATCTTGTTGCCATTGGATCGCCTCTCTGGCTCTATGGACTTTTTGACGGAAGGGCTTGACGAACTCCTCCCTCTCCGCATTCAGCATCGTCTCCACCATACCAGAAGAAACTTCCAACTCCACTTGGTTGCGCAGATAGAGATTAGAGACAAGTGACACGACTCGCTAAGGGAAGTCACGACTCGTCATGGAAATTGAGCGGGAAGAAAAAATCTTGAGGATAGGAGCTGGTTTTGGGTACCAGTAACAAAAGGTACTCTGCTAATAAATACTCATTCATACGAACGTCTTAAGATTGAAGAAAAAGAAGAGGCAGACTAGAGGCGTAGCGAGAAATTGAAAGTCTACTCACATTGAACAATGATCTACTACAACATCAAAAGCTAGGCATAGGTAAAACAAATCCAAGAATCATAACCATGATCTTTGACAGGACTTGGACGTCGGCGTCTTTTATAAGCCCGGTGTGACCCGTATCTAGCTGCGCGAAGATCAACTTCAGGTCCACTTCAAAACCCAAAGGCATTCGCTTTTTCATCGCGATCATGAACTCGGGAAGAGACAAAATACCGTTACCGTTTTCGTCCAGACTCTGTATAAGATGGTTTTGGGAAGAGACAAAATACCGTTACCGTTTTCGTCCAGACTCTGTATAAAAAGACGGTTTTGATGTTGATGTCATTCACGTTTTGTAGGGTTTAGGGTTTTTAGGGTTTAGGGTCATTCTCTGTTTGGGTTAGGGTTTGGGTTTAGCGTTGGGTTTAGGGTTTATTAGGGTCTCTGTCGTGTGACACGACAACGTGAAGTAGGTCGTTGGTCAAAATTAGTACCCTCAAAGCTTTGACAGGTTCTCCAAATTCTTGGAAAATCCAGTCCGCAAACTTCACTAGTTGAGCTGGATAGGATTCATAATCCTGCATCGCTGGTGTCTTGAAGGTTCTGATGTCCGCGAAACCTGAGGGTTGTTTGGAGATTGATTTAGATTATTAGGGAGGGAACGGGAGGGTGAAGGTACTGGCATCGTTGATGATCATGTGAATCTATTCGGCAACTAGGATTTCCCTGAGGATTAAGGTAGTTATACTTCCTGGAGTTAGCTGAGCATCATCATGGTGTCCCATTTAGTGCTACTTTTTTCATTTCATTTCAGTGGGGGACTTCGGCTGCGCTCGTCTAGGCTCTCGCGGCCGTGTCACGGCAGTCGTGCCTACACGAGTGGGAACTGAACCAGTTGTAAGCACTCCTCGAGAATTGTAAGTACTCGAGTCGAGCAACAGAAGATTGATTAGCTTGTACTCAACACCAAGAACGAAAGTAGATTGAAGAGTAGTATTCCCACTCTACTGCTCACCCTCAGGAGCTCTAAGTATGTTCAATTCTACTCCACTCACTCCTGCGTGGTCACTGTCAATCAAAGCCATTTGATACTTTCTCAGCACCGAACGAGTGGATGGATGTAAAAGACGATGACGGACCGAACGAACCCGATTATCAGATCATGTCAAACAAACGCCGACCGAGAAATCAAATCAACAAATGATGTCATGCAGGATCCGTATTCTGGCTACACTTTTAGTAGTTTTTAGGGGCTATTTCTAGTTATGCTGCATGAGAAAGTTCTTGCGTGTCAAAAAATATTGTTGAGTCTTGCGCCTATTCGTGGAAAAACTACTTTCTAAATGGAAGGGTAGCGTAAATGCGGTTGCTAAATGGATGGTAAATTTTAGTTGCTAGAAGACGGATGGTGCATTATTCATAGCTAGATGGATGGTGCATTATTCATAGCTAGACGGATGGTGCATTATTCATAGCTAGATGGATGGTGCATTATTCATAGCTAGACGGATGGTGCATTATTCATAGCTAGACGGATGGTACATTCTGCTTGCTAGATGGATGGTACATTCTACTTGCTAGATGGATGGTACATTCTACCTGCTAGACGGATGGTCCTTACATTTTTAGTTGCTAGATGGGTGGATGGTAATCGATTGTTTGAGTGTGACAGGAAAAAATGAGATAGGTTCTTGGAACTGACTGCAGCGGTATGGTACAGCATACTTAATTTCATCATGCTAAAAGATTTCCAATCCAAACAAGCCGTTGCCGGCGAACGATACAGTCACGATGGCCGATGATGTTTAATAACACTGTGCACAATCGTCTTGTAGACTGCTATAGGTATTTTTCATATAAAGTCATTAATAAAATTATCATACTAGAAGTAAAATGAACTTTAACAGATAAAACGGTCGGAATAAAGGGAACTGTCATTTGCTTAAATGCTGATCTTGAATGGATGAATGAATTTCATAGGCTGATGCTGATAAATGACTGCGAGCGTGTAATTCAAAAAATAGAAACAGATTTACAAGGAAAATTGACCAAATGGGTACACTAGTACTGACCAAGAAACTAGAAACAAGAGTTCTCTACATACGCCAATGGACTTCGGCACACGCGAAGCAAAACTAAGCGCGTACCATCAACATGAGTAAAAAAACATAGAACATACTTCGTCTTGAGATTCATCTTCATCACTCAATCACCTCTATAAACGTCCTCTGCCTGGTGCGAGTTCGCTTGATCATCTCCACTTGGGTGAATCTTAGGACTGTTTCTTCCACCTCATCGCCTCTGCCGTCTGCATTGGAGATCGAAAATGCACATGATCTTCTTCGGATTTCACTTTGTTTGCGTACTACGATTTGTTTCTCTACGATAGTACAGCGATGACACGACTTCGTTTTCAATTCGATACACTTTGCGACGTAGTCTTCCAATTTGCTCTTGCGAGGCCACTCAATGCTCTCACTTTTCCATCAGACACAGATTGATCGTAGCAAAGAAAAAACGATCAGAAACACATCATCAAGAAGAAGAAGAAAACAAAATCCAGTAAAGAACCAACATACAAAACGAAACTAAAACGAAACTGAAACTCAACAAAACACCAAAAAAAAAAGCATATAAGTACCTGCAAACAAGTCTTTTTTCCTTCTCGGCCTTGTCGTCTTCGATTTTTTGCCGACTTTGCCAAGCTTTCCTAGCAAAGCGTCTTTTGAGTCACCTTCTGCTCTATTCGAGTGGGCGCGGACTGGGTCTGCAAGTGCGACTAATTCCCTCACCTCCTCGACCACGTGTTCTCGGTTCGGATCGTATAAGGAAGTATACGGATGCTGCGGAGAGGATGAGAAAAGATCTTCATCTCGTGTACAATTCTTGCAACATTCATTCTGTGGTAGAATCTTTACAACCTTTAGATGTAATGTCTAAGTAGATCAACTGTCCTCTAAGCAGCAGGTCATTTCAGTGTGCAGCTCTCTGCATTTCTAGTACAGGGAGCTATTTTGAACGATTCCCACAGTCTTCTACTAGGAGCTATTTTTAACAATTCATCTTTACTTCTAACACTCTCAATTGCAACTACTACCGTTTTCCTCTGCGTCGAGTTGTGCCATTCATTGAGTTCATGCCTGATATCTCCAGTCAAATGCGCATCCTGCAAAAATGCCGACCGCCTCTTTTTCTTCAAATCTTCTGTTAGAGTGTGTGTGTGACTGTGTGTGTGTGTGTGTGCTTGAATCTTTACCTTGGTACCTTTTATCTTGGTACCATTTGTTCCCGTGCATTCTATCCTCCAAAAAGGGTGCCAAGATGCTAAAACAGAGGGATAATTGCTGACCATAACCCTGGCGTGACATGCACCGGAACCCAATTTCTTCTTTCTCGCTCTTCTACGAAGATGTTGACTTTTACTTTGTCCTTCTTCTTTGCCAGAGAGGGTAAGAGCTTCTTCTTCCTGTCTGTTGGTGAAGCCTTTTTCTTCATTTGCGAGCTGGATGAGGAACCTGAGTGATGAGCGATTCATTGATATTGATTATACAAACAGAGTGAATCAGATAGTACTTATAGAAAAATAGTACTCCCCTAGATGTTTTTCCCCTACAGTCTTGGTATCATGTCGGTTATGACAATTATTTAAAGTGAAATTCACATTTCGTTTATAACACAGCTGATGTGCTGCGAAAGTCAACATGATCTTCTTCTAGATGAGCTTGTACCACCAGTCATCTCCAACGGCATCAAAGACTCCTGCTCTTTGCCGTGACTCCTTGGTGAAGGCTGAGCAACTCCACTTCCGAGTCCCACCTTTGTAGCACTGAACTTGATGGGCGACCGCTGGATAAGATTTTTGAATTTTCGCTTCCGCAATGGGTTGCGTCCTCGTAACCTAAACTGATAATCCACTCCATCGACGGCGTACCTGTAGGTCAAGAAGGAATGAGTAATACTCTGCTCATTGAGTATGAGAAGAATCTATAAGCTGATAGGTAGTTGAAGTTGTGTCGTGTTCACTTCAGAACAGTTTCTGCTAGATTCTACAGAGCAAAACAAGATCACAAGTGCAGCTTCCAGCTTTCATCTGTGCTGAACGGAGACTGTGCTGCTCAGAAACTATTGCTTATCGAAAAGTAGTACCCCCTCAAATAAAGCCTCTGAAATAGCAGAAGCGCTTGCGCCATTTTGTCCATCGCGCCTCCGGCTGGTCGCTGTTGCTGTGCTAGGTTCAAGTGTTCCGCGTTTTCGAAGATCTTTACTCTACCTTTTGATATAGCAGATAGACAATCCGCAAAGCCTGCTAGGTAGGCTCTCTGTTTTAGAGCTCGCCCTAGTCCACCTTGAGACTCCTCCTGAACTCCTTCTCCCTACTTCAGGATACATCGGAAGATGGATTTTCGAAGATGGATTAGGGGAAGTCTTAACTGTTGTTCCGTTGTGTGCGTCTTCCATCCGGCAGCAGTCATAAGGCAGTTGGCGTCGACCCAGGACGTAGCCTTAGCCGAATAGACTTTCGAAGTCATCTTGCTCTGGAGAGTGGAAAGTTTAGGAGAAGATTGTGGTCGTGAGGGATACGAATTGTATGTTGATGAATCGGACCGATCGATTGTATCCTTATGACTACAACAACTGAACAAAAGACTAAAAAGTTATGATATTTTCATGTAGCAAGCAAGAACTTCAGCAGAAATCGTTTCATCACAAATGAAATAGTCCAACTACAATTAGTTGTAATGTCTATCAGTAATATAATACCCACTCCGCCGCATAGTCTTCAGCTATATTTGTGTAGCCCCCTTCCATCATCGACTTCTGCGCAAAGTCCTTACCCTGTTTCGGTAGTAGCCTTGAGTCTGGTTCTCGGTCTAGCAAGACAAATGGATTGAGGTTCCCACTCGGCGCTAACGCTCGTGATATGTCACGTTGTAAAATCACCTCGAAGACACTACTATGCGCTTGAACAATACTGGTGCTGCTTGGCGCTGATGATTTTGTAGGTCCGCCAGCTGTTGTGCTCTGAGCGGTTAACATGCTTTGGTTATGTTAAAGGTCAGCAGTCATTGGTCACTGACTCTGAACGGGAGGGGCCCCACATCTCTCTACTTGTTTTCCCTCCATCTATCTCCCCTGTTCTCTCAAGGGGGCCCTCTTCGATCTATCATGGTGGCCCCAATCTGTATGGTGACCAATGAAAGTCGAGCCTTAATTATGCCCTTCGTGTAGAAGTTCCATACTGGAGCCTGCATTCATGATAGACGACTCCACGTTCCCCCCCTCAGCCTCTAGAGCAGACATCTGCATCGCGTAGCTATTATCAGCGTCAAAGACCGGCCCAAGGCTGTAGCTCTCCAATGGCCTGGACATGTCCTGTACTAGGGACACGAAACTCGACAAGGATCCGATAATGGGCGCGTTTTCCGGTACTTCGGGGCCAGGCTTCGTTACGAGGTGTTGGTACCTGGTGTTGCATGGGTGTAAGGGGAAGAGGTGGCACCTGGTGTTCCATCGGTGTTGAATGCGAGAGGTAAGGGGGCCCAGTGGTGGAAAGAAGAGGGGAGCGACGATGGATGCTGAGTAGTGAATAGAAGATCTACAGGTAGAAGAACTGCCATGGTGTTTGATGTGTAGCGAGGATATTTTCTTTTTCACAGACAGAGGAGAGAAAAAAACTAAACAGTACTCTGGCTCCGGTCTTTCCAAATAGCACCACTCCTCTATGAGCCTAGGCAACGAAGGAAGTTCTTGAGCCTTCAAGATGCTATCTTCCTCCATCGGACTGTCTGACTGCGTCGCCCGCAGTTGATCTACCTCCCCTTCTGTTAGCTCGATAGAGGGCTGCATAGGAATCTCTTCTGCAGGGTCTTTCCTATCATCACATTATTAGAGATCATGAAAGTCTAGTATCATGAAGATACGATTTTTATAGCTCGCATTTTTACTTCATCATTTTCTGCGAGGATGGTCGTGTAGTCATTATTTCTAAGGTCCTCGTGTCAACTTTACTAGCAGGAACTAGAATGTGGAAAAAACCAACACTTTAGACTAAATGTATTCTGACAAAAACTCAAGTCGCACTCAAATCCACAAGCTATTCTTGTCATAAATCACCTCCTCAGCCGGTGCTGGTATATCATCTGCTGAGTCCCGATGTCGTCGTTCATCGACCTCAAATTGGATGACATTTTCTGCTTCCTTCTCTATGGATGTTGTTTTTTCCATCTAGGGAGACCATCACGGCTACCCTTTTCCGCTTACAAAAAGGGCTCCTGCATATACATATTTTGAAGTTGTACGTGTAACTTAATAATATTTTGAAGTTGTACGTGAAACTTAAAATTTAACTTAAAAGGGAGGGTGGAGCCTCGATGGTCTGATTATGGAGAAACATCATCCATATTCTCTGCGATTGCCAGAAGAGCAGTAGAATCTTCTGCTGCGCCTCCAGGTCCAGATCCCTCTGTAGGTTCTGTCATAGGTTCGGTCGAAGATGGTGGCACAGTGTCGCCAGCTGCTGCTGCGGCTGCCTCGTCTTCGGCTGTGACAAGTTCTCCTACTGCGGTGAGTGTCGTGGATATTAGTAGAAAAAGATTTGTCAAGCCAGTGTGTGATGTGACACCACAAAATTCATTATCAAAAATCTCAAATCAAACTTATCGTCCAACAGTTTCATTGACAGCAAAGGCAGTATTTCCTCACCATAAATTTTCACCCTCAACAGCTGCAGCCGCCTCCTCGCTCTGTATTCTAACCGCAGTAGATTTACCAGCTTCACCATTTGCAGCTCCATTGGCATCTCCACCTTGGTCTAGCATTGAGTCTAGCAGGTTATCGACTGCCTCAACTTGCTCTAATGAGGCCGTCTCCAACGCCACTGCATCGACCTGTTCTTCTTCAACGTCCTCATAAACGGGTGGAAGTGGCCCCTCCTCGGGGCTCTCGCCCGAAGGTGGTTGTGAGGACATTACGACGAAGATGGTATCTAATATTTCAAAACACTTTCTTAAGTACTATGAAGAAACAACAAGCAAATCACTTCATGGAAATAAGTAGAACTCTTAGAATATGGAGAAGAATGAAAGTGTCTATCTCTATGATCATGTGGTCTATGCTATACATGACATACTACGCCCCCCAACTAAACTACCACGACATGGTAACCAACATACTCAGGCTCGTGCTCGGAGGTAAGGAGCAGAGCCTCTCCTGCTTCCTCTAACTGATTGGTTTGTGTAAGTATTTGGAGGATGAATCAAACAAGGCTTAAGAAAGAGGCTAAAGTAAGTCTGTGATCAGCGGAAAAAAATTATGCTTCAGAAGGAAGAGCAAATAAAAACCTGGTAGAGTGACCTTCGTAGACAAAGAATAAAAGTTCATCATTTCTTATGTAAAAAACACGCTGGGAGGTAGCGAGCCCTTGAAGACGTGGGAAAATAAGGGGAAGAGGAAAAAAAAAGGTTGATGAAACACCCTGTGAAGGCTCAGCTGCCAAACTGCCAATGTTCAGATCCAATGTTGCTTAGATACTTTCTAGAAGGGTCAATGGTGGAGTTCATAGTAGAGATGTCTTGGAAATCGGTTGGGGGAGTTGGAGGTGTTGGGTGTATCGTAGTAGGTTGTGGCGTTCTCCTCAGTGCCGGTAGTATTCAATAATGCTACCTCATACTCACTGTCCTCGTCTTCCTACGTACTTATAATGTTCATAGAGAACCGATACTTTTGCACTACCGATTCTCGAGCGCAGAAGACAGTACCGATCAAAGGTACCAGGGGGCAAAGAGACAGAAGATGAAGAGGCAGCGACCCCATAGTAATTTACAATGTTCGTTGTTGCATAGAAGAGTTTACATTTGGTCTCGACATCATTTAAAGACTTCAAGAGGGAGAGCGTCGAGTACGAGTTCCGTAGTGTTCTATAAAGTTTTAGAATCACACCAAAAAGTGTGATCTCAAAAATTTTCCCGAAGGAGCTTGCACATTCCTGTCACATACTGCGTTGTGATTCATTGTTGTCAAATATTCTGAAAGGTCAGTTTTATTTGAGCTCTGCTCTTTACGATGTCTTCGAATGGAAGAAGATGTATAAACGTGATGTATAAACGAAATACAATAAGTAAGCTCAAATAATATCTAGTCGCGTAAGCGTAATTTCATCATGCGTAGCTCGGCTTTTTCGGTCGTTGGTAGTATATATCACTATTTCATCCGCTCAGCGGTTGTGTGAGCTGCTAGTTACATTTGCTCACCTGTTCATTTTTCAGAGGTTTTCTCATTTGTCAGAGATGATTGCCTAAATTCACCTTCCTCAAATGCGACTAATCTGCAGTTGTCTAGTTTCTTGAAAAAGTAGCTATCTTAAGGTGCTCCCTTGAAAAAGCGCTCCAAAAGATCAAGATCTTTTGACAGTCACAAGTTCTGAGATATTGTCATAGCTATCCCACTTTTAGTTTTTCCAAAAATATTCCCCTCTTCATTCATTCATTTATTCGAAAAACTGAAATAAGCAAGTAACTCCTCAGAATAACCGAGGGACTGACGAGAAGGAAGAGTAGCCTTGACGTTAAGCTACGCCCCTTATTTCAGTCAGTAACTCGGTTATTTCAGTTTTTCGAGTACCTGTTCTGGAGGAAGCTTCTATAGTGTTGAGATAAGACGAGAGGATGCATCGACTTCGCATTCACACAATCCTACTCCCCACATATGCACATGCGCACGACACTTCCCGTCTATAACGTTACGAGCTCGGCGTCATCCTTCTTGCTAGAGCCCACGGTGGAGCCACCTTGCTCCTCGTTCTCCTGCGGATCCTGCTTTTCACATGCCTTCTCGTCGACCAATCCTGCTGTTTTTAGAAAGAGATACTACAGGAGCTTCCTTGTCAAGCTCAAGGTCAACCTCGGAGCATTAATATTGTGAATGAGGCTACTGAAGAATATAGTATTTCTCGTCACTCGATAGACATGAGATCATCATAACTTTCGGCTGAAAAGCTTCACTTCCGAAGCCGTGGCCCAGGTCATATTTAGCTTTGTGCTCGTGTACTCCTCGAGCCAGCATGCACACTGCAAGTACCCGCGAGGACCCGTCAATTGATGGTATCTTTCATTAGATTCTAATAGCTAAGAAGATGAGGCGGATGAGGCGTCCATGGGATACGAGATAGAGGGTGCAGGATACGAGATAGAGGGTGTAGGACACGAGATAGAGGGTGTAGGATACGAGATAGAGGGTGTAGGATACGAGATAGAGGGTGTAGGATACGAGATAGAGGGTGTAGGAAACGAGATAGAGGGTGTAGGACAGATAAAGGACAGATAAAGGACGTCAAAGAAGCATCACAGCAAAGATAGAGGACAGCATCTTCAGGAAAGCATCAAAAGATCATACACTCCGAAGATTAGAGACATTTACTGACAACTAGACATCTATCCGGCAAAAGTGATTCGTAGATGATAGACAGATTACTCATATTGGATAGGCAATAAAAATGATTCGTAGATGATCGATAGATTACTCATATTGGATAGGTAAAAATGATTCGTAGATGATCGACAGATTACTCACATTGGATAGGTAAAAATGATTCGTAGATGATTGCAATGGTTACTCAACTACGATCACCATAGCACTCAATGCGAAATGGCGCAGCTCTTTGCTTTCGAGGCGCATCTTCTTGCAGATATCGCCGACCAACTCGTCACTGAAGCAAGCGGCAGAAATGAAGCCAATCGTAAGGTCGGACCAATCCATAGAACGGAAATCGCCCTGCTTAAATTCGGTGCGATCCCGCATAACACAGTCCAGCGGTGAGGGATCTGCAATATTATTAACAGACTCTATACAAAGCTCCACTTTAAAGTCCTCCATTAATATGATCGAGTCGATCTGTTAGTAGTAAGTAATATTCATTCTTTAAATCTTCTCAAGCAAAAAAGTTGTCAATAGAGCCAGAGCTCTAGCATTTATAATGCCTAGAGCCTAGGGCCAGAAAGTCCACAGCTGGATAGGAACAAAGAGAGAGAGAAGTAAGTAAGTAACTACGTTAGAAGTAAAGTACTAACATCTATGCGCATATTAGGGACTGCTTCAGCCCCTGATCGAGTCGATGTACGTTAGAAGTAAAGTACTAACATCTATGCGCATATTAGGGACTGCTTCAGCCCCTGATCGAGTCGATGTACGTTAGAAGTAAAGTACTAACATCTATGCGCATATTAGGGACTGCTTCAGCCCCTGATCGAGTCGATCTGTTCGTAGTAGGTAAAAGAACTTTATTTCCGAACTTCTCTACTACTAGAAATAAAGTTCTTCTTGTAATAATAATAATCTACCCAGTCATGGGGTACGTACAGTTATGGGAAAAGGGGGATTGTTCGGTTGCAGGGAGATGGGGTTACCTTGTTCTTTCACCTTTCATTTGCATGCGTTTTTCTTCCAGTATTTCATTTCTTGTCCTTTTTGCATTTGTTTTCGTGATGTCTCATGATTGCAATTCTTTTTGCCCCTGATCGAGTCGATCTGTTCGTAGTAGGTAAAGTACTAACATGCGCATATTACGGACTGCTCCTGATCGAGTCGATCTGTTCGTAAGAACTTTATTTCCGAACTTCTCTACTTCTTAGTACCAATTTTTTCCCCGACTGATGGCGCATTGACTTTGTCGGGTAAATTCTGCACCACCATACTTTTCGGCACCTCCAACGTCCCAGCGGGCATGACAATTGTCACGTTCGAGGCTGACGTCTTATTAGAGTAGTTCTTATAATTAGTGCCAGCTCATAATTCTGAATAGCGGGGCGGGAGTCTATACATAGCAGAATAATACTAACGAACCGAGGAAGACCTAAGACTCGACATTTCTCTAAACAAAGGAACTCCCTGGGCCTAGGACTTCATCTCGAAAAAAAAATGTCATATCATGGTACCTCTGTGCTCTACTTTTTGCTAGTAGTAAAGAGGTCTTGTTAGCCTTCGTGTACCTTCTAGTTAGAAGAGCATGAAGACCAACTGATAGACTATCAATTGTTGTAATGTCAGAATAAACCGAGTCATCCTAGTTAGAATGATAAGTTCTTGCAAATTTGCGTACTTATAATTGCGTGCATGTGCTTTTAATTGAAGCTGCACAAATAACATCATCAACATCTATCATAATCGAATTGGTAGTGACCACCTCTTTAAGGTGCTTCCGAAAACTGAGGTTGAGACGCTCCTTCGCCGTTAGACCTGGTTTAATACGCGACCACACATACTCCACGCCAACCGCCTTCCTTAGAGGTGCTGTAACCACCTAAGTAGTAGTAATCTAGTTCAAAATGGGGAAAACGAAAAAGTAACTCCGGACAGTGTACTTGTACTAGACACAGCTGCACTGGTTGTACTAGGCAGAGTCCTAGTTCTAGTACTACTGTAATTCGAACACTAGATGAAAGCACGACAGAGAACTCATTCTAGTGGAAGTAGCTCGATCATGCTTACTCGCATTCTCACTACCAATAAATAGGCTTCAGGAATTCATAATTTCTTTACCGGAGACGCGAGAGCGGCAAGGTTAATGAACTTCCCGAGACCACTCCCGATGTCATAGAAGGTGTCTGTGGTGGTCGCGTTCAGCAACCCAGCACTCGTCAATAACCGGAGGGCACTTGCTTCTTCGATTTCACCTAGCGTAGTAGGACCAAAAATCAAATATTCCAAGAAGTCTTCCTTCGTTCTCCTAAAAGTCTAAAGGATCAGAAAAAATGAGGACGTTAGAGTAGTAGCTAAGAGTAGCCCCCTAATGGATATGATATGGAGATGAGGTATTGTTTTGCAAGAGGTTGGAGGACGGAGTACTATCAAGACTGATCGATCTTGTTGAACGCAACTGATAGATTATATTGCATTCATCTGAGGACAAGAGAAATAAGACTTGTCCGCCATTGGTTGATTTTTATAGCTTAAATGCTTTAGTACCATAGATCGGGTTCCCGCCTAGCTTTTTGAGTTCCTCACGTTCGGTCGTATTCCCGTGCATGTCATCATCTTAGAGATCGATACACCCTTATCCATTTAGCTTGAGTGAAGTGCTTACTTTGGGTGAAGTACTTTTTATCTTGGTTCTTCCCCTAACTTTCAGAATTAATCCTCTGGAAGCTTTGTCTTGTTTCTAAGAAAGTAGGGACCACTACTTCTAGGACATCAAAGCCTTAGGTATGATCGAAATAGCTTTCCTTTATCATCGCCGCTGCTTCGTTTTCGCCAGGTAGTACCACGTTGACTTCATGAGACGTGTCATCCTTCAGGTCTTCCGATCTTGGTCCTGGGCGAAAGTAGCTCGCTGCGTCGCCTTCGGCGCAGGTTAGGAAACCAACTGCGCCAGGAAGCTTTGCCGTGGTGTACAACACTGCCAGCAGCGCGGTCCTCATTTTTATTTCTGACCCTATATATAATAGATAAGGACTTTTAGCTTTAGGAGGAGAAGGAAGACTTGCTTCTTGGAATTATATTTGATTTCTTCAATTCCTAAAACAAGAACTGAATCAGAGGAGAAGAATGAATGTGGAAAAAAGTCGCAATAGGGATTGGAAATAGCTGCCGAAAGCGCAGCGTGCCTATTTCAGCTTTTCGAATAGTATGAATATGTGTCTGACCGTCCTCCTTTCCTTTCCTCTCTTCTCCCTCCGGGGCGAATGTGCAGCAGCACGGAAGAGAAGCTTACATGGTATATGCATTTTTGTCTCAGGCCCGTAGCACATGCATCGACCCGAGTGGGATCGGCGAAGCGCGGCACGAGCATCATCATATCCCCCAACAAACCTCCAAAAATTCTCCCACCATGAAAACCCGGGCATAACGCGAGAGATCCACACAACAGGCACACTTCGGAGGTGCTGCGACTGGAGACCCTCAGAGCGAGATCGACAAGCCCCCATTTGCGGCGCGGCTCCGGTCACTTCGGAGGTGCTGCGACTGGAGACCCTCAGAGCGAGATCGACAAGCCCTCATTTGCGGCGCGGCTCCGGTTCGCCGAGTATGAGGCACGCGGGTCCCACGTATCGTCTCAGGACGTGGTGGCGCAGTCACTGCAGCCGCGAGCCCGAAGTTCCCGGACATTTCTCGTGGAGGCCCTCTGAGTGAGTGAGTGAGTGAGTGAGTGAGTGAGTGAGTGAGTGAGTGAGTCGCGATGTGGGTAAGGGACCAGAATTGTGGGTAAGTCGATTGCGGGGATAAGCCAGTTTTAGGACGATCCACGATGAGACAGATCAACGATGAGACAGATCAACGATGAGAGAGATCAAAGACCACGTGCTGTAGAGCGAGCCACTCACTTGTTTGACCGAGATGAGCAAACCGAAAACCGATATTCATCGGAGTCCTCTACGTAAATAGTTATCTGCCTTTTGTGCGGGTGGAACTCTTCTTGTAGGAGTTCATGTTGTTTCCAGTCTACAGAACAAGAATGGATGCGGGGGTTGTGCATCCAACCAACAGTCAAGTAGGTGGCATTTACCGTATTGTAATTCATTTGCCCAAGGTAGTTGTCATGTCATGTCATGCTCCCTCATTTTCCATCCTGTCAAATAGTGTTGAGGTCTTTCAGCCTAATTGTACCTTCTAAAAAGAAGAGCAAGTTGGTAGTTGAAAACATGTACTTTACAATAATATCCAGATGCAACCATCAAGACTTCTCCTGGGTGTCATGACTTATTTCTTACCAAGTTTTTTCTTCAATTTTTTGGGCATCTTTTCAGCTCTTCTTTCTTCCTTCTCTTGCTTAATCTTGGCTTTCCATTCTGCTTTTGACAGGTTAGGATCCCTAGCTCCCTCTGGAAGTTTTTTGGGCTTCTTTTTTCTTCCTTCGGTGGTCTCTTCCTCCTCTTCGCCGGGTACTTCTTCGCCATCTTCGATTTCACTCTCGTCACCCTCTGGAGATTCCTCTTCCGCATCACTGCCCTGTTCTTCCCCTTCCTCTTTCTTGTCAGCAACAGTCTCTATTCTTTCTGCCTGTTGTGCATCTACTGGCTCTTCGTCCTTTGGCAATAGACGAGAAGAAGAAGCAGTTGTATCTTCAGTATGTTTTTGGTCAGAAGCAGCATCTTCGCCAGCCTTGTTTTGGTCAGAAGCAGCATCTTCGCCAGGCTTGTTTTGGTCAGAATTAGCCGATTCAGACGTCGTAGCATCCTCTACTGCGACATTTTCCTCGTGGCCTTCTACATCCCCCAACAAGCTTTCTTGACCTCCTCCCACCACACTGTCGGTTCCCTCGGATGCAGCACAGGTGGACGCAGGATCACGACGACTTCGCTTTTTCTGTCTGAACGCACGCCACTTGTCTAAATGCTTCTGTCGCTTTTCTACTCTCCCACTGTCTTGTTTCTTTGTTGAAGCTTCTTTACTAGCATGATCATCTTCTTTATCCACCTCATTCAGCAGTTCGTCAACAGCAGCATCATCAAGATTGGAAAGTTCGTCTTCTTCCGGTACACCCTCTAACCACGTTCCACCGCCAGCTCCAGCTTCATCACCTCTACTTCTTCGATCAGCCAACAAGTTGCTGACTACAACCTGTTCACCTCGGTCTAGTTTGTCCATGTCCTTCTCCAAAGCCGCCATCTCAGAAATTTGATGCAGATTCGAGGGTACCCAAGTGTTCTTAAATTCTTCTTCGAGCTCGAAATCTTTGGAGTCGCGATCCACGTTGAACATCAAGTCTTTCAGCTTAGTGAGGGCTACGTCGAACAAGGCAACTGTTGATCTGTTCTGTCTGGCAGAAGAAGAAGCACTTGTTCCTAAATTCTCGTCAACAACCCAGTGGTAGAGCCATCGGAGAGGAAGGACGTCGATACCTGTCGTGTGTGATAACGTTGTGTTCTTGGTAGAGGAGAAGATGGAGACTGAATGAGAAAGATTAAGATGTTTTTGAGAATCTACTGAACATTCATTCCTTCGCGTCTCTTCAAGTAGTCATCCTAGACTACCGGCAAGACGAAACAGATCCAACAGTTGTGATTGAATGAATGTGAATGCTGGAGTGGTCTGAGTCCGATTTATTCTTTCATCTTGCTTCCTTACACGACGAAAAAAAATTTACTATTTACATACAAATCTCATGATCAAAGAACATAGTATAAGTGATTACCTTGTTTCTGAAAGAAGGAATTGATGTTCTGGCAGTCCCGCTTCAAGAAATCCAAAGCCTGCGGATGATCCATCTCCACTGACTGCGAGACATCGATCATGTACAACGAGCCGTTGAAGTAGAGGATGTTGTATTCCGACAAGTCTCCATGGACCAGCTTACAGTTCTGAAACAAGTCCCGGAGCATCCTACAGCACTGCAGGTAGGTGAAGAGCCAAGGATCCTGCTCCAGCAGGTCGTGGAGCTCTTCCTGCTCTTCCTGTTCTTCGGCATTGGATTCATTTTCTTCCCTCTTGGAGAAGTACACTTTCAATTGTCGCTGTTCAACTACTAATTCTTCTGTGGGAACGTCCTTTAGGCGTGGGGCAGCGATGCCTTCGTGCCCGATCAAAGCCATGACCAAGACGTTTGCGCGGTGTTCGATTGGGTAAGGGACCTGAATTGCGATTTAGATTGATGAGAAAGTAGTGCAACATGCTGGGCATGACGCAAATCTTTGCGACTTGTTACTCAAGTGCTTATGGAAATACGCTGTCGTTTCGTCTACACATATTAAAGGGGTAGTACAACTGTCGCCGAGAAGTTGTATCATCTACAAGTATCAACAACATGCTGTCAGAAGTAAAAAGTACTCGGAAAAAAAAATATTAAGTACCTTGATTGTTTGAAGGGCTAAGCCTATATAGTGAAAAAAATATATTATTAGAAATATACTACAAGTACTGTGAAAATAAAATAAAAATACCTTAATAAAATTTGCCTTCTGTCGGATTCTTTGCAAATTTCTGTACTCCTTCTCACACCACTGAGCTATCACCTTCCGGGGATTTCCTCTCGACACCGCATGCCGGAACCGGTAATCTCCCTCCGTGTAGCGCGCTCTATCTTTGAAAACTAAAACCGAAGTCTTGAAAACCTTGACTGCGAGATGATTCAGGATAGTGTTTTTACACTGTAGATCAACAGAAGTTGTAACTGTAGTAGTGGAAGAGGATGTCGTCGAGGTTTCTTCTGCAGCATTCTCCGCTGTCGAAGATTTCGCCAATCGCTTGGCTTTATCTGGATTTACCATGTGTCTTGCAGTTTTATTCCGACGTCTCTGTTCATCCGCAGCTTCATCGGCTTTCTTCTTGTGCCTCCGTTCCGCACTAGCCGCTTGTTCAGAATCCATTCTAACCGCATCTTCAGAAGCAGCTAGTTTTGTCGTCGACTTCAGTGCACGCCTGTGGTTATGGTTCGCTCTCAAAGTAGAAGTGTCGTCAACGTCATCCTCGTCTTCCTCCTCTCCTCCTTCGTCCTCCTCTTCACGAGCCTCTGGGTCGTTCCCGAGCGGCTGTTGTTCCGACGCATCGTTGCTACCACAAGGCATCAGATGTCCAACCTCAAACGCTTGCTTGCTGGTTGCCGCATAAACGTTCGCCTCTTTTCCCGTAGACACACACCCGTTAATCTCCTCCAAGACTCCATTCCGCAGTAGTTTGTGCAAAATTTGCAGAGTTCGATCGTCGAGGCATTGCTGAACTGTGGCTCTGCTGTCTCTAGAGATACCAATCTGTCTGTGGGCTGCTGCTTTACGTTCACTGTTGGCGATCGAGTTGTTGGCGACATGATCGAGAGAAATCTTAGATGCGAACTTTTGTTGGGAAACGCGGTCCAAAGCGCCCACGCTCTCGTTGCGCGACCCACTCTTACTCTGGCACGTGCCTAGGAAACTCAAGCTTTTGCTTTGGTTGGGGTTATCGAGGTTTCTCAAATGATGAGGAGCATCATCGTCATCCTCGTCAGAGAAGTTGTTGGCGCCACCGTAGTAGTCCTCGTCGTCGTCGTGGTCGACATCATCGCCATGATCTTCGTCCTGATCTTCACCCTTTTTCCCGCGGCTTCTATGTTGTTCGTTCCCGTCACCAGCATGCTCAGCATGATCCCTATGTTCCGACTCGGTGCAATTGAAAACTAGTTTGCGAGCAGCAAGCTGAAGCTTCTTTTTTGATGTTGGACCGCCTCCATTCAACAGCATATTTCTTTTCCTCTGTTCGACTTTAGACATGATAGTGCAAGCAGATTCGGTTTCATCCTTGAGACTAGAGTCGGCTTCTTCATGGTGAAGGTGGTCGTCGTCATGTCCATGATAGGCTGACACTTTTTCTTGCGTCGTTGGCGCTTCAGGCTCATGAGCAGCTGAGATGTTATTCAAATCTTGTTCTCCCTCTGCATCCATCATGTTGTTCAAGGTCGAGTCATTGGCGGTAGGGGTAAAAACGACATTGCTTTCTTCAGGAGCAGCGGTCTCCTCGTCAACCTGTTGTAGTGGCGCTGCGGCAGCATCTTCGAGAACAGTGCCAGAAACCCCCTCAACTGGTTCTTCTAGTGCTTCGACAGGACTACTCGTGTTGGCAACTCCCATCTCTTCTACTTCCTCCCGAATGACGTCTTCAACCACTACTGCTTTTGCTGCCATTTCTCCCTCTTCCGCGCCCACGAGCGCGACTTCCTCTGGTTCTTGAGACACGACACTGCTAGGCACTTCCGTCTCAGGCACCGTCGCATCCTCTGGTGTCTCGGTTTCTGGAGATGAGTAAATCAATACTTCTCCTCCTGCTTCTGCATCTAGTTCAGGGACAACTGGCATCAGTACTACCTCCGTCTCTGTCTCTTCCAACTCCATAATTGCTTGTTCAGGCACAGGATATTCTGCATGAACTTCAGGATTCGTCTGAGCAGGGATTGCAGACATAGCATCTCCTTCAGTTTCTGACGCCTGTTCTGTCGTCACTTGTTCTGTCGTCACTTGTTCTGTCGCCCGTGGCAGTTCTTCTGGCACAACTTCATCTGCTGTCTGTTGAACTTCAGACACGACCTCTTGAACTGGCTCTTCAGGCGTCTGCCCTTCAACAATTACAGCTTCTTCCTTTTCTGCATCAGCATCTCCACTTACTTGTTCCTGCAGCACTTCCACTACCTCCTTTCGAATGCAGACTCTCGAGAACAGACTCTCTCTAGGCGTCGCCGCTTGAACTTCCTCTTCTATACGCACGTCATCTACAACCACAACAGCGGTTTCGTCTATCGTAGATGCTGAATGCAGAGTCATCACTTCATCCAGTACATCATCTTCCTCATCTTCCTCTTTTATTGCTTCTACGTGCCCCACCACCCTTTCTTCTTTATCCTCTTCGTGTTCTGCAATCACTACCGTATGCTCCGGCTCCGCAGCTTGAGAAACAGTAGACGTTATCGTTTCCCGCCGTTGTTCGTTAATAGCTATGGGCTTAGCGGCGGTGCAAGAACTACTACAACTACCTACGGGAGTAGTATTGCAATTCTGTCCACTGTCTGTAGTATCATCAGCCTTAACTACCGCACGGTTGCGGCCACAAGCGAAAGCCATTAGGCTCTCCAGTACGCCATGAACCCGGCTAGAAGCGTCGTAAAGAGCTTGCATTTTGAAGGAATGTTTGACACGACGACAAAGTTCTCATACTAATACTAGATCGCACAACTTATTAGTGAACTACGAGCAGTTCTTAGCTGCGTAGAAGCACAAAACGGCAACGTACAGGTTACTTAGAAATCGTCAAATGCAACAACAATACCAGAATAAAGGTGAAACAAGGGAAAGACCACAGTAGGCGAAAATTTGTAGCATTCTAGAATGTAAAAAGAGTCGCTGACTGTATCATGAGTGTCTATGCGAGAGGCTCTTTATTCATGCGCCCTTCTGCTACACAGTCTAGGGCTACACGATCCGGGGATCCATTGCGCTATAATGATCCATTGCGAGTCACGACAATCGGCTGATCCTATGGAACAAACACGAGAAAATTTGCTGGATCCGTTCTAGTAGGGGGTTTGTCTCTGTCTTGTGATCTTCGTCTAATGGGACGCAATATCAGGGATCATGTGGCAAAGGATGATGCAGTCAACACGTCGTGGATCATGTGGCAGACACAGGTAGATTTGTTTTCATACCAGGTGTAGCATCATTCTTATCGATTTTTATCTTTGAGTGAAAAAATCCATTGATTTCTTCTTCTCCTGTGCATTAGACAAGTCATGTCATGTCATGGCGCCTCTTTTGTAGCATCTCGCGTCTACCTATGAGGCAACTCAGTGTAAAGGTACCTCCTCCTATGGAAAGCCTATGCACAAGCACCTACCGAACCAACTGCCTTGGAAAAAACAAACACCTCGATTGAATTCCTCTCATTACTGACGACTTACACATTATAGATAGAGCGAAATGACGGTCGTTTTCGTCTTCTCTACTTGAAGGTACTTGGATCTGACTGTACAGTTGCAAACATCTGCACCTTTGCCAGTTCCAACTCGTCCAACCTCGGCAAAACGTCCGCCCAAGGGGTTTCTGGACCCAAAGGCTTGTCACCCGAACCCTGTTGAATCAGCGAGTCATACATTTTTGCTAGTTTTGGTGAATCAATGGTACTTACTAGGATTTCTAGATAGCTACAGATTGCTACTTCATCTTTATCGCAGCGGATCAAGGACTCGTGAACGTATAGTGTATGCTCATAGAAGTACCAAATAGTCCCTCAATGCCCAGACGGTGATTCTATATCTATGCGTTCCTTTTTGAGGACAGATTTAGAGGTTACGGAATTTCTACACTCTTCAGCACATAATTCCTGGCCTCTTTTCTACCAGGAAAAGAGTCAGGGATTTGGTAGTGAGGAATGCAATTCGGAAACCCCTAACAGATTTTGGCTAGCCCATGCTCCCCAGCATCGTTCTTGCCGACGAAAACGAGCTGCTGATCTCGATATCGCGTTTTCACGTTGCCGTCATTCAATCCAGTCCAGTCACCTGGGATATCAACCGCCCAAAAATGGTTGAAAACCTTGTTTGTCACTTCGCCAGTGCCGTTGGGGTAGTCGAGATCGGAGAATGAAAGTGATGATTTGTTGTTGGAACGAAGGGCTAAGACTTTAGAGGTAAAAACTAACCGATTGTTTTACTTCTTTATTGGTAGATACTATTCATTTCGACACAGACATCACTAGTTCCTTCATCGTACTTCGGTTCTATTTCTTGAAGAAAGTCTCCCGATACTCATCATTGCACTACTTTTAAAAGGAACCAACTCATAACTCCAACACCACAGCCAAACTCAAAGCCTTTGGGCATGCCTCGCGGCCCTTTTTCAAAATTGGATGTCCCAAACCACTATTTTTGGGCATACCATCCCATGTCACCACTGGAACGCTATGACTAGCATCACCTCCGATGCATGTGAAAGCGTTGTCTAGAACGCCACCTTTGAGGTTAGAAATAAAGTCGAGAATATAGGCTTTGGAGCAGAGAGAACAGTGCTTGGAATGATATATTCTACATCTAGAGGTAACAAACCTAATCCGCAACGCGAATATAGATGCATTACGCAATGCATATGCAGCATTGTTTAACTAAAACATGAGAGAACATTGCGCCTCGATGCACACCTGCCTTGGCTGTTGAATCAACCATGTACACATCAGTCTTAGACCTCCATCACATTCTGATAAACACCTACAACTTACAAATCCATAGAAACAAAGGCACCATAATGATCAGCGTATCCGCATGCACAGTCAAGCAGTCACACCCATAGCAATTTTCCCAGGCTGGTGGCGGTGGGATTTCTGGTGGGGGTGGTGTAGTTACCCAAAACACGTAGGGAAACGGTCCAGAAGGTGGCGCTGGCGGTGCTGGCGTTTCAAATGTAAAGAAATCTTGGGGGAGGTCTTTGGTATTGGTGGTTGTGGCGGTTCTAAGCTCAGAAGTTGTTGTTCTTGTAGTTCTGGCAAGAAGAACAAGGTCTTCTGAAGTACTCTGTACTTTACCAATACTTGTTCTAGACGTTAGGATTGTAGTAGCCTCACAACTGAGAGTGAAAAAGCAGCATAGACTTGTTCCCCCAGGAGCCAGCAAGCCAAGCTTCCGACGACGACGCATGGTTTACATCATTCGAAACGAAGGGACTTCTGAATCTATTTAGGTATAAGGAAATTTCGTGGATGTTCACTTTCGTTTTTGTGTGTCGATCCGCAAGTGGCCGTGCCGGATCAAGCCATCGTTTAATCGGCTTCTTTGCCAAGGTGACTGTCAAGGGTTAGGATTAGGATGTGATCCGCCATCCGCAGGGTTTAGCTGCATTCTCAAGCGGATTAACGCAGCCTCTGATGGACTACCAAAACCTTGCATCGCATAGCAAGGAGAAAACGTTGGTTTGAAAAGGATGAATGTTTGAGTTGTGGTTTTCTGAAACTTCTAAGCAATTGATTCAAGTCTTTTCATCACGGGTATATCCTATAATGGCTGTTGTAGTGAATTCTCATATTTCTTGCATATTAGATTCGCTAAATACTTGACTTGACAAAAACAAGAGAGCAAAGAATAGTTTTAAGGCTTCGATGGTGTTGCGCAACAACAACTTGAAGATTATAGGAAGAACCAAAGCAAACAAGTGTTCATTTTCTAGATGATCCAAAGTCCTGTATAGGCGTCTTTATTCATGTTGTGATGGATGTTGTACATTCATTGGTGTTAATTTACCTACAGAGCCGGAGATATCTAGCATCCTCCTTATTTCCCCGCCTGGTCGTCTGAACCAGGACTACAAGCTATCGAATTTATCTTACCTCTTAGCTGAATAGATACTGATGATAAATTAGTCTCCTGTTTTTAGAACTAAAAAAACAAACTTAGTAGCTGTTCCCTGCAATGAGCCTATTCCCTTTACTTAGATGTTGCGAAAAAAAGAAGTTCGCGAATCGATTGTACGATTTTCGTACCATAACTAATAAGCATCTACCAATTAACCCACCACGAAGATTTTCAAGTATCTTCGTTCACACCTCCACGAAGATTTTCAAGTATCTTCGTTCATAGCATAATTAAGTACTTAACTCACTAACAAAAACAAGGAGTTCGCATCGTGACAAAAACGTTAGTACACTCTTTTCGACTGATGCGCAGTCGTTATCGTACATTGAATGAGATCATACATTTTCTGAAAATAGCAAAGCTGATTTTTTGTGATGAAAGTCGAAGTCTACACGGGTGATTGTTATTCTCGTTTTTAGAAGTTTCTTTCTTTGATGACTAGGAGTTAGTTAGGTGTTCTTTTTTCTGTAAGAACAGCAGGTTTCTCCTCGTTCCACCTGCTTTTCCTACTTCTTTACTCATGTTATCCAAATTAATTGTGGTGGAGCCCTGACTAGAAAGAAAAATGAAAAGACACCAAGAATCCCTCCCTTGTGTTCTTCTACCTTTCCTTCTATACTCCTCTTTTTCAAAACCCAAAATTCCTTCCTTTCCCTTAGTCTATCCTCATGTTACTTAAAACACACCTCCCCCGCGAATTCCTCCGCGTCTGCCGCCTCTTACCGCACATGTGGTCACAACCGCTGAAAGCGCGATACTAAGCAAGTATCCTAGCACAAGCGGAGCTGCGATTCTCCTCTCGGCTGGACTGCCTGCGTCGCCACCCTTGGATGCCGCGACCAACTTCGGCGAAGTCTGCCCAAACAGGTAACCCGGAACAACGTCCAGGAATTTCTGGCCCTTAGAAGATGATGTGGCCTCTCTTCTATCTACTTAATTATCTTACACTGATATTGATCCATGCTCCTGTCCTCCAATAACACAATGAAGAGGAAAATTTGCTCCTATGGATGGACGTCCATGGCAACCTCACGTAAATATTGTGAATCACTATGCTGAAAGAGCGAAAACCCATGTGAGAGATTGAAATACAGAGTCTCAACAAAGTAATGACCCAGCAGTCTCGTAACATTCAATCCCTTCATTCCGCGAATGACCCATTTGTTATCAGTGGGGACTCGAGAGGGGTTCTTCACGTCGAACTGGACAGAAATCACGCCCTCTTGGATCTCACTCTCCGGAGTCAACTCGATGATAAGCTGGTTTCCCGCAATTCGGAATGGCTTCTGGGCGAAAGGGTTAGAGGAGAGAAGTACAAAGACGGGAAGTATTTGACGATAGTTAGGAGCAGGAACGCTCTCCTTGACCATAGTAAGGAGCAGTAACGCTCTCCTTCTGGCAAAAGTTTGATTTCAGTTCCTTCCACTGCAGTACGAAGTCAAAGGGGAAGACAGTGAACAATGCTTTGTGTTCTTCTTCTTGGTGGATAAATCTACTAACTAACGAATCATCCATCCATAATCAAAGGAAGTCCCGCTGCTGAGAATCCTGCAGGATCGTTGAACATGATTCCTTCTGGCGATTCAATTGACAGCCATTCTATTTCGCCCACCTGCAACGGGTTCACTGCGACTAATTCTTAGAGATTTCCGGGTTTCTTCTTGGCCTATGTTCTTGATCGACTTATGGTTCTTGTATACTGCCAATTATTTTTTATCTATGTATGTTGAGATGTATGAAGTTCCTAGTCCTATTTTCACTGGAATCCGTAGTAGTCATGTACTACCCAGCATTCGTGGGGTACTAGAAAAACCCATAGAAGATACGCTTTCTGATATTACTGCTAGATAAACCAACCAACTCAAGTGCAAAGTTACATTGTAAGTAATCCAGCCCCTTAAAATTCCATGACAAGAGTGGCCATTTCTTGTGGTTCCACTTTGCTCCAGGCGAAGACATCGAACTCCAGATCGATCGAGACCAATTCCACGCCATCAATACTCATGTTCGCATCCACTGTTCGACCGTCACGGGTAACTAGGACAAGACCCCATTTAGGTTAGAAGAGAGAACATTTTTGAGGAAACACGTCTGTCTCGTTCCGCTGCGAAGTTAAAAATCGAATTTATAAGAAACAATTTATAAGTTATAAGAAACGATTCTCCTTGCTATAAAATGAAAAAAAAGTTTTGTATCATGTGCAAGTAGCACTGCAGCTTCAGCCATCAATGCTCATGTTCGCATCAATACTCATGTTCGCATCGGCCGTCTAGATCCAAAATCTTCAAAATCACCAGTCCAATCTCCAAGTCCATAATTGTTCTGAAATCCAACACCAGTATTCACCGTCGATGGGTTGACCACTCCGATACCAAAGACGTACTCCACGTTCGCCTGTAGTGCTGATTCCTTGAGTTCTAGCAATAGAGGTTGGTCGACGCCTGAGGCCTGACACCTCGGAATCTCCGGCAAACTTCCCTGATGCACACCATTGCAACGCAGATCGTAGCCACCTTTTGAGTGAATCTTTGGGGATGGACAATGAGTTTTTGAAGAATAATAAAAAGAACAAAGAGTGAAGACTATATTATAAGTTGTATACAAAATTTTTACACTTAATACACGATGCAGCGTTGATGATGCTGGGACGGATACTGAGGGGGGAAACAAAACTAGTACCCAAAGTCGGTCCCTGTATTTGCAAGCTTCCTCCTTTTGGCATCATTTGGTTGGGTTTGAATTTGAAGAAGGCACTCGAAGCGCCGCCAACCCTATTGTTTCCGATGTAACTCGCCGTCATCGATTGGATCTTGTATCCCGCTGCCGTTCCTACATTTGATGGCTGCGTCTCGGCACCACGGAAAAGCTGAAGACTCCAAGTGTTAACTGCAGTGTCATCACTGTGGATCGGAGGGTTGGCGACCTGGGTTCGGTTTGGGACCATGGGGTGAGGATTATGATTGTGATTGTGAGCAGGAAGGTGGAGTTGTCGTGAGGAAAATAATTGTGAGCAGAAAAAAGTTGTAGTGAGGAACCCATGCAAATCATTTAGTCAGTATTTGAAGATTTTTCAACTGCTTGTGCTTCATCAACACGACTATTCTCCATCTACATCTAGACATCTAGTACTTGTATCTGGTGAATCAAAACACTATCAACAAAAATGCTGCCAACAAAAGCTGTATCAATACATCTCTGGCATCTCTTAATAGAAGTGTTCAAGCTATAACTGTTTCATCTTCAACAACAAAAGCTATAACTGTGGTACCTGCAAAACCACCGGAATGTTCACACCCTGGATACTATTGCTGCTCGTCTCCAACACTGCTTTATTGTTGTTCCCGTTACATTTCGTGAACCTCGTCACTTCACCTTGCGACACCAAGCAACTGGCAGTAAATCGATAGTTCGGAGGCGCCAGGACTTCTAATCGCAGTTTATCCAGCTGGTTGGGTGCTTCGACCTTCGAAGCGATAGAAAATTTGATCTCCAAGTCGATCTGCGCACCCGGTGTTCTCAGACTCGGGTTCAGAGTGATTTGGCCCATATCGCCAACCAAGAAGAATCCTTGGAAACTGCCATCGTTAGTCATGCGGCGCTGCCATCGCGCTGGATCGTCGCCAGGCAAACGGTTCTCACCAGGCATAATGTCGTCCCAGGGGTAGGCGCCTGGTCGTGTATTCATATTGTAGTATGGAAGGGGAGAAGAATTTATAATTCATATTGTAGTATGGAAGGGGATAAGAATTGGGATAAGAATTTAATGTCGCCGTCCCAGGGGTAGAAGAATTTATAATGTCGCCCCAGGGGTAGAAGGCGCCTGGAGGAGATGCATGTTGTTCATGTTGATGTGTATTGTTTTTTTCATCATCACCGTGTGGTCCCATATAATAGTACTACAAGCCTAGAGGAGATGATTGTTCACGACAACAGGCAAAGTACCGGTTTCCGCCTTCAAGATAAAGCCATCCGCGTCTACCACCGGTTTGATAAGGTAAATTTCGACGAACCAATGCGTATCCTTGTAAGGCTGTGTCGGCACATCCACGTTGAACTCGACAATGAGAGCGGAGTTTGCCTGGTGTGAGAGTGATTGATGTACTGGTTGAGGGGTTTCGGATATGAAAGTAGATGTGTGGCATGAATAAGACTCTTGCAAGTAATAAATTTCAAATCAAGCGAAGAGAGTACGAAAGCGTCAAACCCAAAGTGATGGTGTGAAGAAACTATTTTTACCTGAATAAACCGCACCAGCTGGAAGTAGTATCGTGTTGGCGGGATGGCTATGTCTGTTGGCTGCGAATAAATCGTATCGACGCCATGGACATACGTCAAACCCTGTGCTAGTTCCTCTTGTGTGTACTGCAGGTTCGGGGATGCGGGCATAAAGCTGTCTGGCACAAATCGATACCCCGTTGGCCTCGTGATGAACAGCACTTCGTCTTGGTACACTGGTGCATTCAAGATGATGTTCAACATGACTCTCGCATTGAGTTGGCCAAATTGACCTGGAATCAGCGTTGAGGCTGTGGTTAGCTCGATGTACGGCAGCACGGAATAGCCAGGCTCCTTAGAGTCAGCTTTTATTCATCCATCTTGGTGGTCCTCTCATCTGGAGGACCCCTTTGCTTCACTTGTAATATTCTTCTATGCTAACTACAAAAGGATACTACCAAAGAGATGATGGATAAAAGGTGAGAACAAAGATGCTGAGAACAAAGAAAGGATACTACCAAAGAGATCATGTTGCTGAGAACAAAGATAGAGGATAAAACTAAAAGGTGAGGACCATAAGTTCAGTTGATGGTGCATGGAATTGCTTCACTTCGTCCTTCTTCTTGTAATCGTCAGTATCGCCATCGTCCACATACCAAGGCAACTGCGTCGTCGCACTGTCCGGTACAGAGAACGTAGCAATATCCCAGAGGATCACACCAGCGAATGGTGGCAAACTGACTCGCGGAATGTTGATGACTCGCGAGGTATCAGGCTGAATGCCATCAATCGGTGTGCCAGGGAGGCCATTGTCCAACGTCGTCGGAGTTTTCAGTGGGATCAACAAAATCTCGCTATTGTTGAACTGCACAGATGGGTACAGCACTGGGTCGACTTCGGAGAATTTGATGCGATTGCTACCTTCAGCAAGGCCTGGCGGTGAGCGATAGGATTCTACTTGGAGACGGTTAGTGGGGATAGCGATTTGCTCGTATTTCGGCACGCCTTGCATCTGCGTGCTGGAAACTTGTGGGATACCGGAAAAGACCCAACCGGTAATGCGGAAGATTAGAAGAAAGATCAGGAACAAGAGTTATGGTATGTTAGGTGACAGTGAATAATTATCACGTGCTGCTGGCTGCTGAATCAAAAAAAAGAAGCTACAACACGCCCTTCCAACAACTACCCATTCATAACAACAGATTCGCTGCACTTCTGGTAGTGAAACTGAGTTTCAGCGTGATCAAGCTTTCGGTAGCTCTGCAAGACTCCTGAAGGACGATCAAGGCATAAGCATCCTTGATGTGGCCACGGCAACTATGCTGATTCTTTGTCTCTGACGGAGTGTTCGGCAGGGGTGGGATGTTCTCGACTTTGATTAGAGAGAGAGGTACAAGGAATTTGAAGATAACAGTAAAAAACTCCAGAGTACCACTACCAACCACTAATCCTATCTCTACAATCCCCATGCATCATAACTTCAATGAATTCCCTAACTGCAATCCCAGCAGAGCCGAAATGATGACTAAAAAAACCTCCTAGTTTACTAAACAGTACAAGCCATAACTTCAATCCCAGCAGCGCTGGAATCACTGGATACCCTTCAAACACCTTCGACGCGATCATCCTCTCCGATTCCGTTTCCATTACGCGAATGCTAAAGTAGTTTGGCGAAGGCGTCATTCCCGGGTTGATAGTCTTCAACGAGAAGGAAATCAAGTCTGCGGCTGGCGCACGGTCGTCCACAAGAGTCCAGCTGATCATGTTGCCGCCACACCTAGGAGTAGTTCGGGCCAAGAAACCCAGGAGGTGGACGCAGAGTTAGACTCGGTCAAAGTAACATAAGTGCTTGAGAAATAGACATCTACAAATCAGTGCCACATTCTTGCACGACTCTTGTTCTAGATCTTATAGTTACGATTTGCGTCGATGAACGTCTCAAATCAAGAGCTAAAGAATTTTGCAGTGCACAAGGAGCCATAATAATCCGTGCAGCTTTTGGTTCCTGTCCTTGCCATCAAATAGCCTGCTGGTGCCAGGATCACCACCGACTCGCCTGTCACGACATCCTGTGGAAAGCTCATTTGAAAGACGAAGACGACTTCGTATCCTGCATTTCGGTCTGCCGGAATACCTAGGGAGAACGTGATAACCTGGAAGTTTACTGGGAAACCAGGAATGGTTGTTCTGTCGATCTCTCGCTGCACTTCGTCACCGGGCTCGGAAGTTGGTGCAAGTTAGAACATGTCATGTCATGTCATATGTCTCCAACCTGATCTACCAAATCAGTTTTGAGACCAGGCCCAGAGGAAATGAATCCGTGCAGATCATTTTCCTTTTGTTCTTTTTAAAGGAGTTATACTTAGTACTATCCTCCATGCATTCTGTTTTGTTGTTCATCCATAGTAGTACGCTCTTTCCATTCCCTTCAGCACAGTCCTTTACACTTTCAAAGGTATAATTTCCAAAGGTATTTACAAAAACTATCATGGTACAATTAAAGCTGACGAGAAGTATTTCGACATCTACAAACATCTACAAACGAAAGCGGCTTAACTGAACGTCCTGACGAGCCAATCTTGTGCTTCTTGCTGCACCGCCAAGGGGTTCTTCACCATCAAGGCGATCGAATACAGGACACCATCCAGCATGACCTTGTCGTGCATCAAGCGCAGACGAACGTTGTTGGATGGCTTCTCGTCACCACGACACTCGACAGAGGGGGCGATTGTTCCAGCGGCGTTGAGAGGTTCGTAGTTTGTCCAACGACCTTTCTGGTTCAGAGTGTCCGGGACTGGACACCAACGGACGCTGGAACCTGAGGGCAAACACAAAATTAAATACATTTATAGTTTTCTCTAGTACTTACATAGCAAGGATTCTTTAGTGCCATCAATCATCAGTTTATATACTGCATAATGATCAGGCTCATCATTCATGCAAGAACTTCCGCATTTCTTGTCTACGAACTAAAAATACCTGTCAGCTGTACCACACCAAATGAACTGTTTAACATCAAAGTAAGTATGCACCTTACAACCGTATCAAACAAGGAAACAAGTACCAGATAGCCGTATCACATCCGCCGTGCTCAAAGCACCTTCATAATCGCAGAATCTTTGGACTTCTTTCTGACTGACTGTCACTTTGACATCACAGGTCGTGCGGATCTCGAAACCTGTTGGGGCCACGATCCTGAAGTACCCACGCACTGCTAAAAGATTTCTCAGCTTAAGACTGATGGTGACTTCGTTCTCGACTACTGCGCCGGATCGACCGATAATCGAGGAGTATAGGTTAGAAGGGGCTACTTCTGTTTAGGATGCTTGTATGTGTTAAAAATGACCATGCTGCACGAGTCTGAAAGTTACGAGCTGACTGCCAAGTATACTCTTGCGTAGCAATGTGCTGACGCAGACTTTCTGGTCAGTTTTCAAAAAAGTCACATAGAAATAACTTTAAATCCAAAGAGTGTAAGGCATTGATTTAACGACCTTGTGGCATTGATTTAACGACCTTGTTGATGAAATAGAAATAAGTATGTAAGTACCCCAATGAACATTCAGCATCTACGGCAAGACCACAATCAATCCATAACTCTCGGCACGATCGAATATTCCGTGAAACTCCAGATGTTGTAGCCGTTGAACCTTGTTGAAGTCTCCCCGTTAAATTCCAAGCTCCACATGTTGTAACTAGGATTCTCAGATGGCGTAGACTGGACTGCAATACGGAATAGGTACACGCTCTTGCCCTTCGTTAGAGATCAACAAAATTAACGTCTTCAGGAGTCTATTGCTTCAGACCTCCAAGAAGAGGAGTCTAACTATTGCTTCAGACCTCCAATAGTGAAGAAGGAAACCAAGGACGACGACGGACCCTTGGAAATGAGCATGTTGTAGGGGACCTTAGATAGTTGAAAAAAATACTTCACGAGAGATGAAAAAAACCCTGATCACAGGTGAGAATTCTGCGCTGATGCGTCGTGGATTTATGGAAATGAGTTCTTTTGAGCCTTAACTTCAGACCGCGTCGCATTTGGATCAAAGCTTTGTTGCCGTTCCCTTTGCAACTCAGTACCTCCGCTGACGGCGCAGTAGGCCAATTCTTCACGTCCGCTTCGCCACAGCAGACACTGAAACCGCTAGGCATCGTCAGAGTCGGGTTGTTGGCCCACAGGACTAGATGCGATTGCGTAACCACTTCACAGTTCAAATCGAACAGGTAGCCTTCTGGCGCATTGACCTTCATGTCTAGGATATTCGGGTCTCCATCCGGAATTCGTCTACAACTAGGATCTCCAACCGCGTCCTCCGCATCATCCGTGTTACAGGTCATCATGAACTTGATGATGACGTGAGTGGAGCGCTTTGGTCGGTCATTCCTCAGTCCACGCGGGGCCTGGTACTGCCACTGTTCAGGGGCGAGGCAAAGGGAATAGTCCTCACCACACTGACGCCAGGGCTTGGAAACGAGGTCGGCCATGGGCATGGGATTCGTGATACCAAAAGACGGGACGCTGGTGCGGAAATCCAAGATGCTCTCGTCCGTCTTGGGAGATGAAGGAGGAGGGGGAGGAGGAGGAAGAGGAGAAGAAGGGGAAAAAGGATAAGAACAATGCTTCCCAATTTGAAGCTTAAGCATGATGGAGGTGAGCAGAAACTGAATATTGCATTTCGGCCTGATCTCTACAATTTCCATGTCTATCGCGTCTATCTGAAAATGCATGGAACACCATTTATATAAGCATATTGCGGATGTCCTAGTTGTCCCTTTATCCTTGTCCTCGGGCCAGTTCACTATTGCTTCTAAATCCTTTCATACCACACTAGCCAACTCGAAGGAAGCAATCTCCCATGTGCCAGCATCCGCGTCCGTGACTGTCGTACCCGGATTTGTGCCCTGCAACATGAAGGCATACTGCTTAGCTGCAATTCCCTGTGGTCCGGCAGTAATCGTGATCGTAGGAACTTGCGTTGTGCCGTCGAGAGATTAGAAGAGAAGGACACGGTAAGATTAATTCAGGTTTTTTTGAATAGTAGTATCTATAGTACGTACAGACCTTTTCAACTTTTTTTGATTTTCCCCTTGTAGTTTGTACTCGAAGGAGCTAGCATCGTCCAAAATGCAGCTTGATCTCCTCGAGTTATCATGCCAGGTTCATCTATAACCAGTTTCACATAATTGAAACTAGTGCACGTCGCATCGAATGGCAAGTCAGTGTTTGGCGGGTTACGAATCCCCGGTGGGGGGTCCACAGCTACTGGCAGACAAGCTGCTGCAAAGATAAACCCACTTGGACCCGTGATGACCAATCCGCCACCTCGCTGAATGTCCGTGATCGTCTGCAAGGAGAAGAAAATCTTGTTAACCGCACCCCGAAGACTAGTTTCGTAGTTCACGTTCGCATTGAGGAGTTTACGGACGATTGGTGCCGGATAAGAGCCAGCAGCAAACCTCTTCGCCGGGTCTAACTCGTCGTACCCGAATTCGATCGTGAATCGATTCAGAGAGTCAACCATCGTGAAATTCGGCACTTTGATCTTGGTTTTAATGCCGTATTTCTTCCCTGCTACGAAGCCCGTTCGCATCGAGTCCATACGTAGTTCGTTCAAAGGTTTTACGATCGGCATTGGCGGAACCAAGCTCAATGGGAAATCCAACTCTGCTCCAGGCACCGCCTGACTCTCGGGAACGCCAGAATTGATCGATTCGTACAGGAATTCAGCAGGCGTGAAGAGCCACTGATAGCCATGAGGAGCGACGAGGCGGACGTGGATAGCCGTGGGAGTAGCAAAATCCAGCTGGACTGGGAAGATTAGGATGTCAGTGGGCAACCCAGCAGCGTTGGGGCGCATATCTCCGAGGCCGACGATGAAGTGCGTACTATAGTACAGCTGATCAACCGCATTCTGCACAGACGGGAGATCCTGGTAAAAAAGCAGTACACCCAGGTTTTAAAAGGAAGTGTGAATGGTGTCCGTCACCTTTACCAAACCAACACCGACCAGACAATGAAGTAAGTGTAGAAAACATTACCGTCAAAAAAGTCTGGAAACTGAGATTGGGTTCTCCTTGATCGTAAGTCCATGCATCTTGGGTTGCGTCGTTCGGGTTTGAATCTGGCCTGCCTGGATCTTCTTGGTTCAAACGTGGTGAAAACTGAGTTGCATCAATCTTCTCCGTTCCCGCGTTTTCGTACGTCGAGATACCCCATGAATCCCGTTGTGTCATCTCCCAGACACCAGCGTTTTTCACGCGGAGACGGAAACCTGTAAGTGCTTGTGGTAGAAGTGCAGGAGCGCTAGGTTCGCGAAGAGATGAGCACAACTTGTGAATATAATTTGTAATTCACCTACTTCTATTTTCACCATAGATCGTCCCCAACAAGTAAGCAAAACTTCTATTATTTTTACCATAGATCGTCCCCACCAACAACCTCCCATCGATACTGAGTCTCGCTCGATTGTACGTTCCCGCACTGGTTCCACTACCTGGCACCGTTGCACCTAGACACGTGATTTCGTCATCCGGTGCTGCCCTAGGAAGCATATTGGTCGGCTCTGCCGGTTCTGGCACGTAGTAGATGGCTGGTAAGTCACTGACTAAGCAGTATTGGGAGAAGTCGAACTCTTTAGGTGCGTCGACCCATATCTGCGCAAATGGCGTAGCCTGTGTGCCTACGCGCTGCTTCGTCTTGAAAAAAACGGACAATTCGTTCATCAGGAAAGACTGCGCAAAAAACTCCGGTTGAATCACGTTCATCTCGAGTTTACCTGTAAGCACGTGGGATAAGGAGGAGTGCATAAGTGGTCAGGAGGGAGCAGAGGTAGTTTTACAATAAGAGCGATAGCACATTCTGGGTTCTTCCACACCAATTCCATTCCGTCGAGTCTATCATTGGCTTGCATTCCAACACCTAGACTATACGATGACACCCTGCTACTACAAAAAGGAAGTAACGAATCTCTACAGTTTCAATGTCTATCGCGTCTATCTGAATGCATGGAACACTTTTGTTTCTAAATCCTTTCATACCACACTAGCCCACTCGAAGGAAGCAATCATTATCAAGAAATCCTATAATGAAGTCAGGTCAATACCTAGAACCGCTGTATTCTTCGAAAAATCCACGTCGTCCAAGATTCGTCCATATTGGACCCCTTGCGTGATTGGCGCATCCTTAATAGCGCTCATCCTTCTTGGCGAGAATTTCTTTGGAATCGCAAACCCATCCTCGATTTAGAGCTTGCCCTATTGCATTCTTGTTAGAACATCCTCACGACCCTATTTGCTGCTCTAAAAAAGTCAAGGATGTTATTATTGGGGTATGCAATGTGGCAACCCTTAATCGATATTCACTTGCGGCACACCGGTTTGCGTGTAGTAGATCTTCAATTGCCAGTAGTTTTTCTCATTGGCGATCTTAAGCGGCTCTGGATTGATTACTTTGAAAGGGACGACAATAGACGTTCCTGCATTCATCATCAAGTGTTCCCGGAACTTGATTTCGCAGTAAGGGTTGGTATTCGGAGCACCCCAGGTACCCTCGATAGTCACATCGATACCGACCTGAGAGATGAGAGTAAGTAGTTACAAAGGTCGCTCACAGGTGTAGCTTTTAGTGGACAATAGCCTCTTCTACTTGTTTCATCAGGTAGTTCTGGTTCGATAACGTGATTTAATATTATAGTCTCTTCTTGTTTCATCAGGTTCTTGTTTCATCAGGTTCAAATATAACCTGATGGTGATGTCTTAAAAGAGCAGACCATGCTGTAGTAGTACCTCATTCCCATTATCCATCGGCTGGGACCCGAATGTTCCGCGTCCAGTTGGTGTTCCGACGTTTTGAAAGTATTCCAAATCTCCTGGTACTGGCAAACCGCCTAACGCTTTCTGGCACTTGTAGCTACCTTCTTCCGCTTGCAATTGTGGCGCCACTAATCGAACGGCAATGCGCTCATTCTTCTCCGCATAGAGCACCGTTCCGAAAACCAATTGCATGTAGAGCAAATTGGTTTGTGTGGAAAAGGGGGACTGGTTACCGTTGGTTGGGCCAATACGAGTAAGGATACGCGCAACGGCGGACCAAGGGCGGACGAAATTCTTCGCGTTATTTTGCACCGTGATTCTTTCGAGGTCACGCTGGGAAAGGTATCTGGTAGGTGTGGATTCTTGGGATAAAGATGGAGGAGTGATTGAATAATGTTCATTGGCGTCTTGTAAAGACAAAAGATCATATAAAATACATCGTCCAAAAGCAAAAAAACATCGTGGAGCAAAGTACCGTCCTCCCTTATCCTTCTCCTTCGTGAATTCTGCTGAGAAGTGGGTCGGAAAATAACCGAACTTCGGCACCGGCAAAGCTCCTCCCAAGTGAAACACCGGCTGCGACGCAGAGGTAATCGTCATTCCAACCGGAATCGTCATCCGAATGTAGTTCACCTGTTGTTCCGGATTGTCCGTCATCGTTCCGGTCCTAAAGGTGACAGAACCCTTATCGCAACCGACGATCTCTTGCAAGGCGCCTCCGCCAGCCGGCTCGTAAAACATATCACAGTTGTTTCCTCCGATGTCCCATTGGGTCAGTGGATGCAAGAAGATCTTCAGAATGTTACCGCTGGAGATGGGCTTCGCGTCGTTTTCGGGGAGAAGCATGAACTTGAAGAGAGGATACTCGGACAAATTCTGCTGATCCTCAAAGCAGTCCTTCTGGATGGGGGTCTGGCACCAGTTCCTGTCCTGTGGTTTGCAAAGAATTGAGATGACCCTAATGAATTAAAGTATAACACTACTAACCCTGTGCTTCAGTATATGGAGAAAAGAATCTACCTCATCAGGGTCCACTGCTGCCGCAGTCGGGGTCGCCACACGACCATTACCGCAATCCTCTTCACGCTGGCAGGGCTGGCAAGAGTAAGTAGCACTAGGCGTAGCAGCAGTGGCATCGGTACGGATGCAGTATCTGTTGAAGGGGAGTGGAGTCACCATGAGTCAAGATCATGAGACTCCGCTAGTCAAGATCAGAAGACTTATCATGTTCGTTTCTTGGTACAGACAAGATAGAACCGTGTAAGTGTGAGACCGTGTAAGAAAAACCATCCCCGTTTCCTAGAAATTCTCCGTAGTACCGTGTAATCGCCATGTAGCCATCTGCAGTTCCGTCTGTATCGAGCAATTGGAAACCCAATGGGCCGGTCCCGGTGTATTTCAGTGCAGGATAATCATTAGCGTTCCAGCGGTCAGCGGCGTTGGCTGGAGGGATGACGTCTTGCGGCTCTGGCTTGCAATCTCCACTCTCGATCACCTCAAAGGTGCTGCCGAAGTCCTCGTCGAGGGCTGGAAATGAAAGGAGGGTGCAGTGGGGTGTGTGGGAACAATAGTGATGAAAAATCGAGTTTCTCTGCTCCTGTGGTAAGAAGAAGAGTATCTATCCACATAGCAAGGTCACAGCTACTACTCTTCCCTCTCTTGAATCTACATCTAGTGTTGTGCTTATCCCATAAGTAGACTTTCACCGCACCCTGAGCTGGTTGATCCTTGGTGAGTTGTTCGTTGAACGTTGCGTGCAGGACCATTTGGTACTGAGTGTTCGGCGCAAAACCGTTCTTTGCGTGGAAGAAAACGTACAATTCGACCACAGGGTTAGGATCGATTGTTCCAGAGATTAGAGATTGGTTTTTGTAAAAGATGAAGAGTCTTATTCTGACAAGATAAGTCTGAAAAGAAAAGAAGTATACCAAGTGGCCTTAACAAAGTATGACTCACGTCATCGTAGTACGCGAAGCACTTCTTTGGCTGCGGAAACCCATTCTCGTGCTCACCCCAGAGTTCCACAAAAAGATCACCGCACATCTTTTGGTTTGCGACGGGGATGATATCTTTAAGCGTCCTCGTAGATGTACGTGCGATTTGGGCTGGACTGCTGTTTCCACTGGCGTCAGCGGCTGGCCTTTGTGTAGTGGACTGATCGTAGGGGATCGAGATTAGAGGAAGCGAGGTGGTGGAGGTGGTCGTGAAGAGAAATCGAGGCTGGTCTAAAGTTGGAGAGCTGATAGAATCGAGGCTGGTCTAAAGTTGTAGAGCTAATAGAAGTCATTCACTATCATGGTGAACAAGGGACGAGCCTGGTAAAGTAGAGCTAAAAATAGAAATCATTCATTCAGCTGCTAGTCATTCACTATTAGAAGTCATTCACTAGTATCACCACGACAAGCTGTTAAGTCATTCACTAGTATCACCATCACCACGACAAGAGCTGCTAGTCATTCATAAAAGAACCGGCGCCCACTCCTGTCGTGACGTGATCGCATTCAGCGTCTCCTTGTTCTCGAAGGTCAATTTGACACCCATCTCGCCAGTTGCGCTCGTATATCTCGCACTACTGCCAGTTTCAAACGTAACAATGACTGGAGAGATTCGCTCGGTCGGACTCGACCCACCATAGACAGAATTCTCGATGGTGGTCAGAGAGAGCCAGCTGTTGGACATCTTCACAGGATCTTTCACGATCAGGAAACCGACGGCGGCTTTGTACTGTGTGAAAGTCGGGACGTTCATGCCGACAGTGTTGTAGCTTCCTTAGAGCAGAGTGACGAATTTAATCCGTAATTGTCGAAGAAGTCTCATTTACAGCAACGACATGTGTGGCCCATGCAGCAGCGGCATCAAAGAAATCAAATCCGTCGCTACAAGCATCAAAGAAATCAGCTATACAATACAATTAATCTCGCACAGAATTCAGTGCAGACCGCCGCACGGCGTCATAGCGTTTCGTCACTATGATCACTCACAAAAGTTTCTCCTTCCCATAAGAATTATCGCTCTGCGCCCAGCAGATGACGTAACCACGGCTGTCGGGTGAGGGACTGGAGACTTTCATCAGGATGAACTCCTCTTCGCTACTACGAGTCCACGTCATAGCCGTGATAGCTTCATTCGTCTTTCCGACTGTGACCGGCGTTTGATACGGAAAATCAGAAGCCGAAAATTTCACGGGGATCAAAATGCGGTGACAGGCAGGTACGATGACGGTGGAGCCGGGTTCGACGTACTGCTCGTAATCGCAAAGGACGCTGAGATTGGTTGAAAGTTTCTACTTGTTGTTGAGGAGTTGGCTAGAGTCTAATTCAAATTCTCTTCCATCTAGAAGATATCAATCATACAAAAACAAACCAAGAAGGGTATTAACATGTAGAAAATAGTCAATATCACCTGACACTATGCACATTCGTGTACATCTTAGGTGTAGTCAGTACCTGACACTATGCACATTCGTGTACATCTTGCGAAGTTCTTCGATTTGTATCTGTGACTTCCCCATCCCCAGCAGCATTGGTTCGTTCCACTGGACCTCTAGGTAGATTTGGTCGTCATCTTTCAATCCATGCAAAGCTGAAAATTCCATTACTGATCCACGACCACTTGGATCTCGGACTAGACCTCTGGCAATGGATGGACCGGAGACTGGGATGTCCATCACGGCCAAGTTCGAGCTCAACTGCGGAGCTAGGACTTTAGGACCGAAGAAGCGACTGGTGGGTGCAGAAGTTCCGCAATCTGCGAGCTCTTTGGTGGCTTCGAGTGCGAGGATGCGATTCTTGGTCTGGAACAGATGCCCCTTGAGTCGGAGATCTGAGTGATACTGGTTTTCGGAGGGAAATGCCGTATGTAATCTTAGACTTAGACCACTTGGAAGAAATATGATCGTTCAACTTCTAGATGGGAGGTACTCAGCTACAGCTTGCGTCTGGGACAGGAAGAAATCCACCTCAAGCTCAAAACTTCTAAACTTCTACTAATCGCTAATAGTACTGAATGTAACGCCCGTGACTCGTGTCCATTTTTGATTTGGCTCTGGTCCACTCACGATTTGACGATGCACAACAAGCCAGTTATGCTCCGCATTGCACATCTGATCGCAATAACAGATCGCGTAGAATCCCGGCTCAGCAATCTTGACTTAGAGCTCACAAAATAGTTCTTCATCTTTTCAACTCATAGTCTCAGAATCCAAGAAGGAAACAAGCAATACTTGGTGAAGGAGATGAATGGTGGTCGGAATGCCTTAATTGATGGTCGAAATGCCGTTTGCGAACCCATACTTGAACCCTAAGCCTGGAGCGTTGGCAACGATATTTCCGATGGTATCGATCTCGCCAGCTGGCTGAGCATAATCGATGTTGGAGTTCGGATTCACTTGTGCGTGTCCACTTACGAGGGACGATTGGGCGTACCTAGGAAGTGTGTGGATTTAGGATGGAAGAAGGAGACTTCTGCGCAATCAGTGTGTTCATTCATTGATTCATTGATTGATTGATGTGCCTATTCGTGAGGTAGAGGGGCTACCTAAGTGCATGAGGGAGAGGGGATGAGAAAGAGGAAGAACCTTGTGACTATATCGACTTACGTCCGTACTTCTTTCATTCCACATAATGAATAAAGCCAAATGATGCCAACAGGTACCTCAAGCAATGTTGCGGTGTGGTCAAAGCCAAAGGGTCCTCCAAAATCTTCATTTCCCTGGTTGCTTCCCCACTGCTCATAGAGCTGAAGGAGCCGATCTTAATGTCTGAGAGACCGGTCTCTGCCTGCACAATCGGAATATCCTTTGGTGTGCGAATCACAATGCTGAAATCGGTATTTATGACCGGCGGCGTGATAAGCGATAACTCTCCAGGTGAGTACACAGCAGCTTCGAGAGGTCGCATTTGAAGGACGCCAGCCTGGGTGTTTGGGTGTGTTTGGGTGTGTTTGGGTGGTTGGATGGGGTTGAGGACGTAGTTGAGTGGAAAAGAAAACGTTATTTAAACAATCTAATAGATTGAATCTATTCGTTGCTGAAAGGACCCGAACGATTTTGGGACCTGTTCCATTAATGTGACCAAAGAAGCAGGAAAAGGAGTCATCGCATGCTGCAATTTAAATTAAGTACCTTAAACCAATTCGACGCAACTTTACATTCGAAATCGCAGTAGCACACATCGTAAAGTCTCGTAAGCATTTGTTCATTGTGGTAACTCGCTGAAATCTGAACATTGCTCCAAGTTGGGGTTTTGATTTCCGTAGCTGAATCAGGTTCATGCCGGCAATCTGCAGAGCCAGGAATTAGAAGAAGTCTGAATCAATTATAGTTGATAAACTCAGTAAGTACGACGTACCTACCATGTACTGTATAATGATTGATATCAAATCTTTGGGCCGAGGAACATAATCCCTTTCAGAAGGAGAATGATGTTGCTAGATTGGATGTTGTGTGTAGAAGATCTAGTAGCGGTTAATTCTTTGAGGCGAGTGAGACAAAGAAAAAATTTCTTTGGAACTCTAGAACCCTGATACTAGTTTTGTCATGTGAGGGCCCCCGATGTGACCCTTCTTGGTCACCGTAGAGACAAAATGGCAGCCAACACAAAAGTCAACTCCCACAACGAATGCCCAGGGAGGTCAATGGCGGTCCCTTCCAACTTCTACCTCAGCAGCGTCAAGAGATGGTTAGGTTTCGGATACAGTGCATGTGGACAAGGCTACACAGCGACTGCACCATACGAAGCAATAGTAAGACTATCAAGAAGACACACAGTCCTGTGTTCCGAGACTGTCGATGGGACTATTTAATGCCGTGCTTCACTTCCAAAGAAGGGCACAATATTAATTTCATTCGAAATGACAACATAACAAACAATTCAGTGGCGAGTATTGTCCTCCCTCTTCCCGGTTCACGTCGACTTGCACTTCCGCAGCAATCTGTTCCGCAAATCGACAGCCACTAGTATCATCGAAGTACGGCTTGTTGTTCAAAGCGCTCTGCTTCACAATCTTGTACGCCTTTTCTGCGCTCTCACTGCAACCACCACCCTGATCGCACGTTGTGCCCTTCCTGCAACCGCGGGATATGAAGGAAGAGGGGCCCTTGTGGTTTTTTCGCGATGAGGGGAAGAAATAAGATGGATGAGTTATATTGTTATTCATCTTAGACTAAATAGACCTTTACAGTCCTACTTGATTCGCAAGAAGCAGTCCAAAACATCACAAGTTAAGTATCTTCTTGTCACTAAAAACAAAGACCGAATGAAACTGAATATTTCATTCCTGAGAGCCATAAAATCCAGCACCAATTGCCACTTCAACGTCGGAAACGCACCTACTTCAGCCCCATTGTGATACACTCGCGTCTGAATGATCACCAAGGTTCCGACGTCCGTTGCAAACGTCTGTTGCTGGTCCTGTTGACAGGCTGGATTCGCGTCGCCCGTATCCCAATCAAAGTTCAAGCAGTAGCACATGCGGAAGACGTAGGGTTGATTTTGTGTCGTCTTCAGTTTTCGGAAGTTATACACCACTCGTTTGGTACTAGTCTCTAGAACGTCTGCGATCCGCGTGCCGAACGGTTCCTGGAGACCATGCCCACTGTCACCGTCACCGCAATAGTTAGAGTCAGCTTCTATTCGTCCAAGGCAAAGAAACAAAATAACGGCACCAAGATGTAGCTGAGAAGGATGGAAATGGAAACAAGCTGACCATAAAATAGTAAACAGTACTGCCAGAGCCTTCGTAGTTCTGAAGGGCGAGCTTGAATTGACTACCGTCAAAACCACTAGTTGTGTCATTGCCGAGACGGACAAGAGTAGTGCCGGTTTGCTGCCACCTGAAAAGGTTGTTTCAGAAATACTTTCTGAATTACAGGTGAAGCAGTTTGATGCATGGTTGTGAAGAAATAATGAAATTCAAATTCTAATTCTTTTCAGGCACTAAACATAAGCTCTATGCACATAATCATACCCTGTCATCAATCCCTGGCACTGACATCCGTCATCGTACGGCAAATTCTGACAGCCTATTCTGGCCGCATGCATCAGCGAGAGACTACAAAACCATTTATTGTCGTTTTTGTCACTACCCTCCACCTCGATTAGCGGCGCCAACACCTCATAACTCACCTCGTCTCTGGTGTAACACAACTGGAAAAAGCCCGCGATTGGGAAAATGACCTTCGTATACACGACAGTGCCTCTGGTGATCCCGACAGTGGCGTCGTGCTGGTTTGGGTTAGAAAGGAAAGGGAGTTGGACGAAAAGGGAGGGAGATGACAGTTTCATGCTGATACTTCGTTGTACTAGATGCATAAAACAAGCTCTTACTTCAGAATTGCTATTCTCTCTTGCCGTAAGAAACAAATCCTCAAAGAATTATCTCATTACTAGATACAAGGAAATGAGGTAAATAAATCAACAAAATAACTCCAATCCATAATGACTAATCCGTTAAATGGTGCTGATCATGACTTTAAGTATAGTCCAAACATAATGACTATTCCGTTAAACGGTGCTCCCATGACTGAAGGAGTTGATTTTTCGCAATCACCGTTTTGCGGTATCAATTTTATCGTGAAATTCCCAGTCGTCGCGTAACCGTCCTCCCCAGTGCTACCTTGGGATCGCAACCGCACTTCTGAATAGGACAAGCCCTGTTTCACCTTCAAGGATTGGGTTGTTGTCGGATACACAGCTGGCAGCAGTGCAGATGTTTCATCTGAGGTCTTCGTATTAAACCAAGGATTGCTCACAAAGCCTCTATCCGGTCCTGCGGAGACAGGAGATTGACCCGTTGTTCGTTCTAACTGCGCATTCAAAATGTAGAGAAAGCGCCTCGCTGCGGAAGAGACAGAATCTACTATGCTGGCTAGCTTCTCGCCGACGCCTCCGTTGTTGTCTTCTGTCAACTTGCGACCCTGGCGACCCGCCCATAAATTTTGGCCGGAGTCGATATTGAGGATAGGACCTGGATCAGCTACTCCGTCAGTGCTATGCTCGGAAGTACTTGCACCAGAAGAATGTGCTGTTCGTATGGCAAGCGATGAGGACGAAGGGTCTCCACTACTAGTGGCACTACTATCAGAAGCAGCAGCAGCAGCAGATGCACTAGCTGCAGATCCAGCCTCCATCTTCAAACTCCCCGTACTGTCGTAACTACTATCAACACCTGATGCTGTAGTTCCTCGCAATTTTTTTGCAGAGTCAAATAGATCTTTCTCCGCACCACTTCCACTAGCTAGCCTACTGCTGCTACCTCCACTAGTACTAGCTCCAATATTATTCCCACCTGACGTCGACTGCGCTAAAACAGTCGACCCCTGATAGAGCAATGAGGCGCAAAAGAGAGCGCCAGGAGGCCTCCGCCGCCGCCTCCAACGACGCCTCCGTATGTCATCGCCGTCGCACATTTTTCTTGTTCTACTTTTATTACTCGTGTTCATTCTTCTCGCTGATGCTGTACTTCTAAAACCTCCTCCGCCGTCTCCGTCGGCGGTCGTTATTCTTCGGTCATCATCTTCATCTTGTACAGCTCCTATGCTCCTGTCGCTGTCCTCATAATTACCGCCAAGTATCTCCGCAGTTTCCTCCACGTCCCACATCTTTCCCGCGAGGTCCAAACAAGGTGAAGGTTCATCTTCTAAACAACTACCTACCAGAAGTCTCCTTTGACAAAATACTTTTCGATGGTGGGTTGTGGAGCTGCTACTTGGCGAGCAGCCCACAATGACACCCGCACCATCCATCGACCTATGACTTTGGTACTCTCATTTCGGTAGGTGACATTCTTCTAGGATTTTCGAATTAAGTACTTAAGTATCTATGATGTACTCATAATTGCAAGAGAAATGAGGACAGCATTGATGTGATTGAATGAATTCGGATGAAAATTGTTGCAAATGCAAAATTCTGTCAATTATAAGAACCATTGCGTGCTCATGCTATAGGACTAGTCATAAAAGTCACAGCCTGGTAGTGAAAGAATTCGGTCAAGTGTTGCTATCATCTTGAATTTCCTAGAGTAAACACTGCTTACACAATAACCAAACAAAAACGAAAGGTTGATATGCGCAAAAGATTTGCAGAAAAAAATTTACTCGGAAGCCTTTTTCGGTTTTCTCTCTCTTCCTTTAATATCTCTATCTCCCTCTCCGTCTCTCAATATCTCCGCTACATGTTTCTCACACACCGCATCACTTTTTTTCTCTCTATCCCTCTTTCGAGCTCAAGCCTCTTTGTATGGACGCTCTTATTTGGTCTCCTTTTCGAAAACGACAAAAACAATCGGCGGGAAATCGTAAAGCTGCCATAGACTCACTCTAGTACACCTTCGAATTGATTGTTTTCACAGCGGTCTGCTGGTACAACAGGGTTGTGTTGCCACACTGTGTGTTTCAAACGTAAGCTACATCTGATTCTTGTAAAGCATCATACACGACAAACAAGGAATCACTCGGAAAGTTGGTATAAATGTTCAAGAAGCACCTCTTTTGAGTTTTGAATACTAGTTAGAAAGAACAAAACGAAAGTGAATTTCAAAGATCCTAGCCTTAGCGATGCTTTTCTTTGTTAGTTTCTTTGATGTTTCTAAATGTAAATTGTTAGAAGAGGACTTCATGCTAGAGTTATTGTTACAGTTTCCTAGTGGAAACTTAATGTTACCGTCATATTTATTATTATTATTATTATTATTATTGCGCGCGCGACCCGATCGTCTCGCACGTGTTACGCCCTCAGGCGATTTCAGTTTTCTTATCCTTACAGAGAGCTTTTTAGCTCCATGGTCTGTTGTCGTAATGTACAAGAGACATAAAAATGATGATTTCCACCCTAGAAAATACACTTGTCCATCCTAGATAAAAGAACCGTACCCACTACCACTAGTACAGGATTAATTTCATCTTTATTGTGATCCTTGTTCTTGCAGTGAAAGATTTAATTTCTTGAAAATTTTAGCTAGAAGCTATTCTTGGAAATCATCTAGCTAAAAAACTGACTACAACAGGAACTGACTACAACAAACTCAAGCTACTAGTGGGGATATTAAGTAGAAAAGTGTAAGTACAAAAGCTAAAACTAGGCCGCAGAGAAATCCCAGCACGTTTACTGACAGCGAACCACAGTGAGCAGTTTGTCGACAAGGCAGTCTCCGCATGCTTGTCGACAAGGCAATCTCCGCGTGCTTGTCGACAACGCAGTCTCCGCATGCTTGAGCTTGGCGACAAGGCAATCTCCACAGAAGTTGTGTCGACTAAGTAGTTCTACTTGCTAACTTATATCCTTGTAACACGGAGAGACGGAGTACAGCCTCGCTAGGATGGATGACCCCATCGACATCCACTTAGAAGAAGGCAACTAGTTTACACACTCCCCCCGTCGACATCCACTGACAAGGCAATTCCTCAATCACAAAAGAAATGACTAATGAAATAGAATTCCAGTACAACGTCACTTTCATACTTTCAAAAGACAAGAGTCTATTGCCCAAATAACAATGACGGTAGCCATTCCGACATTTGTATCCAGAGCCTTGTCGCAAAATTTGTTGACACCTTTAGTTGATGTGACATCTGATATCAACAACTTGAGGGAAAAAATATGTGCAGGCGGTCTAGGCGCCAAAAATACTCACTATATCATACGCAAAATTTTTCGAGAAAATAAATAGGCTACTAAAATTTTCAGGCACTAAAAATGTTGGTAGCTTTTAATGTATAAATCATTCATGGATCCTAGATTCATGCAACTAAGTAGTTGAACGTTTTGCCTAATCAACGTCAGCGACCAACGAATGACCCCCCACCCGCAAATGACCCCCCACCCGCGAATGACCCCCCACCCGCAGATGACCCCCCACCCGCAAATGACCCCCCACCCGCAAATGACCCCCCACCCGCAAATGACCCCCCACCCGCAAATGACCCCCCACCCGCAAATGACCCTCCTCCTTCCTCTCCACGAGGAGCTAATGAGCCTCCTTTATCACTGCCTCCGCCAACTCGGAAAGAGCCTTGATCACTGCCTCCGCCGACTCGGAAAGAGCCTTGGTTACTGCCGACAGCAAAGGAGCGCTTTTCATTAGAGCTACCGCGCTAGCATCTGGTTCCTTGAGAGTCATGCCAATCCTTGGAAGGTGCTTCTTTTTCAAAAAGAAAAAGAGCTAGGGATGATGCTGAGACGAAGAAGAGCCCAGGATCATGATATTGAGGAGATGCTTGAGGAGCGCTAGCCTTAATATCACTTCCGACAGGAGAGGACCCTATCCGCGAGGATGATCCCTCTTGTCCTGCAACTGCAAAAGAGCCTAGTTGACCTCCCAAGCCTTTAGGGCTCCCACTCGCAACGAAAGAGCCTTTAGGACTTGCACTACCGCCAACTGCAAAAGAACTTCTAGCATTTCCACTGGCACTGGCAATAAAGGAGCCTCCACCCGTGGCACTACCAACGATGGAACCTCCCGGACTGGCACTGCCCATGTAGGAGCCTCCAGGATTTCCGCTAGCACCAAGAAAGGACGAAAAGCCTCCATGTCCGTCAGGCGGACGCCGATCACCAAGACGACCTTGTTCCCCACCTGTTCCTAGCTTAAGTTGAATCGGGGCTTTTGTTTTTTCCATAGCTCCGAAGCCGAAGGGTGACGAGGTCAAACTACTATTCGGATCATACTCGTCCCCCTCCTTGATAACTTTCCTAGGACACAAACAGGGACAAATGCGTCTTCCTACCCATCGTACTGCGAAAAATCGGTGCCAGATCCACTTTGGCGCATACCGAAGAATGTAACACGACAAGCAGAGATGAAGAAAGCCGAAAAAGACGAACCAGAACGTCCAGAATTCCGCCCTCGTACAAAAGGGCAAGAACAAATCCACTAGCTCATGTGGGCATTGCGTTGGTACACCATCTATCAAATAAGCTCCTGAGGTTCCCGGAATAGGGGCATCGCGCGCAAGGCCAAAGCCGCCACCGTTCTTAGAACTCGCGATAATTCATCTTCTGACTTCATTTAAAATCTCAGGGACCTAGTTAGGAGCGAACCCTTGTTGAGAAACAAATACTTCTCTGCGGGAAGATGAGTGAGCATGAGCCTTACCTCTCGTCAACCATGTCCATCCTGGAATGCCTCCTCTACAGCTCCTTCTTGCTTTCGCTGCTGATGTGGAAGAAGAAGAAGAAGAAGAAGAAGAAGAAGAAGAAGAAGAAGAAGAAGAAGAAGAAGAAGAAGAAGAAGAAGAAGAAGAAGAAGAAGAAGAAGAAGAAGAAGAAGAAGAAGACCTCGAAGATGTTCTCTTAATTCTGCTTTTTTGCTCAAGGAGGATACGGGAGCTAGTGCTCCCAGTTCTGGCAGTTCTTTCTATACTCATTGCCTCGTCCTCCGTAGTACCATCTTCCTGTACATCATGTTGCCTACTAGTACTAGGCTTTCTAGCCGCCTGAGGACTGCTAACTCCTGGGCGTGCCCTGTTCTTGTCCGAAGTTCCTACAGTAGAAGACAAGGAAGAAGATAATGAAGTCCCTTCTTCCAGGAGAGTACCTCTACTTCTGCCCCTTACGAAGCCCTCATCTCCATCTTCAACTTCTGAAAACGAAGACCCTAAGGTGTTTTCTTCTTCCTCTGCTTCCAGCAGATCAAGTAAGCCGCCGAAAGCTAACCGAGCAGCGTCAAGAACTGGTGGCCGCAACATAGGGTAATCGGGATCTGCCTTAGGGTTTACTTCTGTCTTTTGCGTAAATATTCCGACTTTTACATGCTTCGCAACTTCTTCTAGGTAACTCAACGGCCCTCTCGATAATGTTGAGTCGTAATTACTGCCAGAAGAAGTGTCGTAAGTACTGTCTTCAGAGGATGTTGAACGAGGATTGTTTAAAGAAGTACTAGCGGAGGGCACAACAGTACTCGGTATTTTCGCTGTACCGCCACTGCTCTTGTCTTGCTGCTCAAGAGATAGCAAACTAGTAATAGTATTAGAAGAACTAAGCTGCTCAAGAGATAGCAAACTAGTATTAGAAGAACTAACACTAGTATTACTTCCCATTGTTGTGTCCGACATTTCGATCCATCGTGCAACTTGTTTTTCGAGGAAATTTACCAATTTAGAACTCACCCAAATCCATCGTGGAACTCATCTCGGAGCTGTCTTCCCCTTGTGGGACAGCTCCAAGACGCTTCAAAAGATGGACTAAGGTAAGCCGTAACCAAAGCTGGCCTCTCTACTTCTGCACGAACTGCATCTTCGCCAATGCTAGTCGCCGAGGTAAAGCTCATCGTAAAACGATACTCGACTTTAGAAGGAGGCGCTTCGGAGGATGAGGATGACACGAAATCGGTACTCGGTATGTCTATTCTACGAGAAGGTGCCACAGTTGTTGTTGGCGTCACAGCCCCGTCTCCCGTAGCATCACTAGAATCAAACCCATCGGACAGAACGACGCACGTGCCCTCTGTGGAGACTAGAATCCTACCATCTAGTGCGCTTTCCACGGCTGCAGCGAGACCATCTGATGACACGGAACTTTCTCCATCAGCATCGCCATCATCATCGTCGTGGACCTTCCTTGAGGAGGACTTCTTCGCCTTGGTCGTTGCAGTCAGGGAAGATCCTGCTGAAAATTTTGAGTCTTCTTTTGCATTAACAGCGTCCTGTTTCCGTTCATCACCATCGCTTGTCCGCAGCAATCTCCCACCATAAGACTCGACTAGCAGACTACTGATGCTACTACTAGTTCTACTGCTCAAACTACTAGGAGTACTGTGTGCCGACGTTTTGGGTTCATCTGAAGAAGTTTCTTCACCCCGAGTGTCGCCACCTGGTTTATATTAGAGGTTGAAAGTTGGCGTCTCTAGCTCGAATATCTATGGCTTTCCTACTTGAGATAGCCATAGAGACGCGCATAGAGATGTCAACTCCCAAGCCTTAATTATAGGCGTTTAAAGCATTTTCTAGCCCCTTTCTCAATCCCTCTCCAGTACCGTGGGACGCTCCAGCTAGCGCTGATCCCGGGATCAACGTAAGGCAACTGATGTTCCGTACAGGCAAGTCCGCGTCGTAGGCTGCTCCTAGAACTTGTTCGTCGTATGACAGCACCCTTGTGGTTGTCGTTGTCTTGGTTGATGTCGTTGTAATTGTAGTGGTGGATGTGGTCGACGTCGTCGTCGAAGTGAACCGGTCCTGCATCTCTTCGCTCGGTAATGCATCTTCAATTTTGCGGGTATTTTTTAGATAAACGCGAAATTTGTACAGTTGCATCTGCGTGACGTCTCCCGCAGTCAGTGTCCAATTACTTGTATAATTGTTACTTTTGTTCCGAGCACCTCTAAAAGATGAACGTCTACGAAAAGCTGATGGAGAAAATGTTGAGGCTTTTGATTCGTCCAGAAAGCTTGCGCTCTTCTCACCAGGACTATCATGCTCCTTCTCGGACGATGATGTTGTGCTGTTTACACTTGCTTTAACATCAGAATTACGACCGTGATTAGTTTTGTCATCAACCGGAAGCTCAGTAAATGTGGAGATGCTTTTCTTGGCTCCTGTATCATTTAGGAGGTGTAAATTTGCCTCAATGAGACTAGTGACATTCGTGCACGTGACCGCACGATCCCCTGGAAAGCTTCTGCCGTTTAATCGGTGATCTTCTGGACTTCTGCGGAATTTTTCTGCCCATTCAGCTGCGTTGGTGACTTGCCGACCAAAGATAAGCGTCCATCGCTGTCGTCCTGCTCCAGTTCTTGCTGTTCCTGCTTGTTCATCTGCTGTGGACGAGGGTTTTGTTTCCTGTAATTGATACCCATCGCAGACGAACGAGGAAGAAGGAGATGACAAAATTCGTTCTACACGACGCTTTGTTGCAGTACTGCTGGTTCTTGTTCTTTCTTGCTGAGTGTGACGCGTGAGCGTTTTTGTTCTTTGTGTCTTTTTTAGTGTAGAAGTTTCAGTTTGGACAAAAGTACTACTTGTTGTATTCGACGCGCCACCATCTCCACTTGTTCCGGACGATGCATTTACTGAAACAGCAGTGCTTTCACTCCCATCTTCAACCAAACCAGCGCCATCACCTCCAGCGGTGGAGGTACTCGTGGTCGTCGTACTAGTCGTTGGCATGAAGATGCGAACCGGGAAATTGTCACAGGCATATCGGGCAGCGTCTTCAGTCCGATAGAAGCCAAAGACTTCCTCACCTGTTGCTGGAATTTCAGTGGGATAACTATCCGCAGAAGATATACACAAAAGCTCGTCAGTCGGCTTGTAGTGGGCACAGCAACTGCTTGCGTCGAGTGGTGGTTAGAAATAGAATATGGAATAAGATGATCGAGAATTACATATCTGCTTATTGACAGTCTTGAATGATAATAACTTTCAACTACAGGAGCTTCTGACATTAACTTGAATGATACTACTTATTTTTAGAGAAAACAAGAATAGATTGCCACTACCAACAGCTTTTGACATTATAACTTGTGAATAATTATACTAACTTACTAGAACCTGGCTTCAGCGAATGAGAAACGACAAACATTTTAGAACAACATAATCTCTATCACATTCCTCTCCGACGCAGAGCCGCGACGGCAGATGCTCATGACTTAAGCGGGCTCCGCTAGCTAAGCCCAACTGCTCTACGCTTCTGCTAACTGCGACGCTTCCACAATTGAGCCTGTTGTTAGAAAAGGTCGCAAGGGATTCTGTAACGCGTGGAAATTTTTTGAGATGCAGTCAGTCTTCCATAACATCCGAAGCCAATGCCCGCGTGGCAAAATGTTCAACGCGTGTGCCTTAGAGGTACCCAAGCCCCATCTTTTAGAGCATCTCTGAGCACTTTTCAAATAGCAAGTGGCTAAAAGATGCTGTGAGAGATGGGTTGACGGTACCCGTAAGTTCCTGAATAATCAGTCGGGTATGGTATACCACCCTCTGACGCTTCACACCAAGCACAGGTGGAAGCACGTAAGTCCGCGTACTGATGCATTAGTTAGAAAGAAGAGCTCATGAGGATCCGCATCTTAGCAGCGGTATCTTCCTGAGAGAACCCGTCCAGTTTCCCTCTAGAGAGAGGACACTTCTTCTAGAAAGAGTCCGTAGTATCGATTTCTGAGACACTTGCTTTTGAGAACGTCCTCCTTCTAAGCGAATTGCTTTCAGAAGGAGCCTTAAAACAATAAAGGCGCAAACAAGCCTTAAAACAATAAAGGCGGACGTTCAGTGTCCAGCACAGTCCCCTGGTAAACAAGTAGGCTGCTCTCCAAGGTTCCCATTAATGCGTAGTCCTCTTCAGAAAATGGACAATATTGCCGCACTTCACAGCAGCTTGGCCCGTCCTGCGCAACATCGCAGGTTCGCGTAGTGCAGGTGGGATCTGCGGTGAAGATTTGATATTTTGTTCGGTCTTTAATGAAAACGAGCTCCTTCATGAATGAATCTATAACATAAGACATTGACTTTGACAAACCCATGGCCATGGTCATGCGTATCATGTCTAACCCTCCCTGGTCAGCCCTGAGAGCGACGGAGACCGCCTCATGGTTGGCATTTCAAACCGCATAAATATCCTAGTCATAGTACGATGAATACCACTCGCCGCCCCCGCCTTCTTTTCCGCTGCTCTACCAGAATACCCTGACAAACGGCCACCTTCCCCTAGGAGATTTGGGTCATCGGCAACTACAACCGAGGGACAAACTCGGTGTTTAGGATGGCCAAAAAAACCGGTGTGGCAAGTGGGCAAATCACAACACATCGATGCGCCTTCCTGCATCGCATCCACGTTTACTTGAAACGTTTGCAAGAACATGTTGGGTAGAGGCTGGCCAAACCCGCGATCTGCACAGTAATTCTTAGAGCAGTTCTAGAACAGTAGTTGGCTCCTCACGAAGTAGTCTAGGTGTCTAGATAGTAGATGTCCTCTAGATAGGCAGAAGTTCCTGCCAACTTCTTTTGCCTTCATCTTCTGATAGTTAGAGCTCCGTTCTTATTCAAGGGAAAGGATAACTCTGTGACCTGGATAACTCTGTGACCTGGATAACTCTGTGACCTGGATAACTCTGTGACCAACTTTTTGAAACTCCAACTCTACGTGCGTGAGATTTTCTCCAAGAAGTACTTAGATAGTGCCTTAGATTTCGGACCCATGACATCAACTGGGACGAAAGCAACACTAGCATCGGACTCGCGAGGCAGTCGATGTTGGTATGTTAGAGAATGTTGATCGGATCCTCGAAGTACCTGTAGTCTGTGGTGATCATTGAGGCTACATATTTACTTACTTTCACCAGTATCTCGCATATTTCAAATAGTGACTTGCAAGCATATTTCTTCAGTGTAATATGTGGCCCCTATAATTATAGTGCTGCAGTTCCCAGCACCCGTAGGGACTGACAAGTGTGTCTTAAATACAAATACTCTGCTGCACACGTATTCGTCCATGCGCAGCAGTCTTCTGCCAGTTGTAATGTTGCATTGTGGACGAGAATTTTTTCCCAGGTCAAACCTGCGTGTTCCGGCTTCCCCTTTGCGAATTCTGCATCTCTTAGAACGGATTTTTATGAGACGAAACAGGATAGGGTTAGCTCTATTTGCTGTTCCACCCTTGATCATGGGAAGGATTGTTTCTTGAAGAACAGTTGTACATTCTTTTTCTTGTACCTTACGAAAAGAGCCAGATAAATCTACAAAACACTACATCAGCCGTAATTTTTGTTCTTGCTGGTAGAGAAAGTTTTCTCTATCGATCCGTGTCCTACTTGAGTCGGGTGGATAAAATGGGCTTTTGCTCGTAGTCCTTTGCGCCGCTGACAACGCTGAACCATAGCCTGCCTCCGCACACCTATTCACTCCGTCAGCTAGGTAAATGGCAGACTTTTAGACATAGTGTAGACTAGTACTTCCAGTGGAGCCCTTACTAGAAAAAAAAAGAGGGAAAGCAGTCCGCTACTTATCTACTACTAACTACGGCGACTTACCTAATTTTTTTTCCCCTACCGACGTTTAACAAACATTCTTAACATTTATCAACACAGCAGGACTCGCGATGTGCCGGAATCGTACCCAATCTGCACAAGGTGGTATCCCCTTGACAAAAGTCCACGTCTAAACTAGTGCCGCCTTTCTTAGACCTCCCGGGACCTTGAAGCCCCCTTACTTGAACAGTCATCTTAGATCCGTTTCCCCCTTCCACGGAGGCCCAAGATGCTTCTCAAAATGGGAGATTTCCGGGAGTCGTAACTTTCCCTGTATACCCATCAGGGCATCGTTGACCAGAGGTAGCAAATGTACGTCCACACGTTTCACCACAAAAAACCTCATCCAGGGAAATGACATAATTCTGATTCCTCAAGTTGAAATTGTGTGGCGTTAGAGGACAGACGAGCTCTGAGCTCATCAAGGAAATCCTGTAACCCATTTACATGTCGTCCACAAGTGAGCAGCTGGCTTCGTGGTTTAGGCGTTGCTCTGGTTGCTTATCACACTCCTTCAGTTCACTTTTCTTTTTGACTCGCTTCAGTGAGTCCCAAGCAGAAAAATAAGCTCTTAAATGGACAGAAGTCATATGGAGCCTTAAGTCAGAGTTCGGGTATATCCGCACTTGCCGCCCTAGTGTCCCTTACTTAGAGGTCGTCACCAATTACACTTTCACTCTACTGTAACTTGAAATACCCCTGCAGACCTTAGACATACGTACCTTAGAAACACGCCCCTTGGTTGTTCCCCTACCCTCCTCCTTTCAAAATAACATTTTAAACTTGTCATAAACCATCTTGAGAAAATCTAAAAAATCCATGATCGTTCGTTCCTCGTTCACAGCAAGTAGCTTCGGAACATCATACATCATTAAGTAAGGAGGTAAAAGTTGCATGTTCTTCACATCAACATCACGACAAAACAAACAATGAGATTTGCCTAGGACTATTCAAAGTCAGCATTTCTATGGAGTAAATTTGTAAGATGAACTTCCATCAAGTCTCCGTAGCATCTGCAGGAGCACGTTTCATGTGGTTGTACATTAATATAGCAGCCACATGTTGTACATTCACTACAAATAAATATCAATATAGTAGATTGGTTGTACAAATAAAAATCATATAGATGAAGAATT